CCATCTAGAATTTTCTGAAGAGAGAAATGGGAGTTTGACCTCCTGAAGATATTATTTTATCTGTTCAGGCACAACATGTAATATGACTATGATTTTTACCCCTAGTGGCTGTTGCCTTATGGTTCAAATTTAAACCCAGTTGTGTTCAGCTTCTCTCAGACATCCCTCAGCCCCATCTTGCAGCCAGTTGCTGCAAGCTGGCTCACAGAATATGTCTCATTGTAGATATAACCCTGTAATTTGAAGCAACTGCTGGGTGATATTGCATCTACAGAGCAGATTTGGGTCTGGACTGTACAGATGGAGTTAATTTTTAATTGCAGCTAGAGCGAGAATGCTTAACACATTACACACAGCATTGCACATAGGCCAGTGGTGTCTTCCTGAGATAACTGGGAGCAGGGAAGGATCAGTTCATCAGAATAGCTGAGTGCAGTCTATTTACATACCAGTTCACAAAGTTAAGATTTGGTTAGCGTGGTTTTGGTCATATTATTTTGATGGTGTCTAGATTGCCTCAGTGTGGCAGCATTTCTTATGCAAAAATGCAAAAAAATCCATTGGGCCACTTGAAATGAGATGGTGCTGCTCTTCACTGCTACAGAGACAAGATGTAAAACAGAGAGTGAACAATGATGAAAATCTGTTTAATTCCCTTTTACATTTCTCAGACCTTTTGCTTTATTATAGCAAATTTGATGTAAATGTCCCTGAAGTCACATTAATAAATCTTATGCTGTCTTCCAAGAGTCTGCCTGGAATTACTGTGCACTTCAAGGAGGTGTTTTGCTACTACTGCTCCCCAGGAACGGCTGTTTTCACCACAAAGACTGTTTAATGCTCTATAATTTCTGTACCATATGGTACTGTGGTTGTCTTGGACCTGGATCTGTGTTGTAAGAATTTATACAATTTTTTCTTTACTTATATGAACCCTTTGACCACGCTGTCAGACTGGATGTTACAGGCCTGTGATGAAGTAGTACACAAGTACCTTAGATATACCTTACCCAGGAGCTTCAGAAAGTGTTTTTGGAGAATCTGTGGCTGCAACATTCCCTGTGACATAAAGTTTCTGCAGTTTGCTGATTCCTGGATAATTTAGGAAGTTTTGTTTTCAAATTTGTTTTCTGCTAAGACACTGCCTTCCACTGCTGGACCATTGACATGTCCTACTCTAAAGAAGTAGTGTAATTTTAACTTATTCTTGATATTTTGATTAATTTTTATTCCAAATTTTAATCCACATAAAGTGAGATTTAATAAAGAAGCTCTGTGCACTATAAAATGGACTTTAGATTTACATTAGCATTCCCTGATTTCCAGCAAGGGTGGCAGATGACATCAGGTAGAAGAGAACGAGAAGAGATCTGAGATCCAAGACTTCAGTATTTTGTGCTAAATACAGGGGTAGCAAATAACACAAAGGACAGGACAGAGTGTATTAAATTCTCAACTTAATCCTGAACTTAACCTGTAGCAGTTGAATTACCTGGATGACCAATCATTAACAGAAATACAACATAAAGTGTGATCACAATGATTTTAAATGTATTTGGGGTTTGTCCTTTTTATGGAAATGAATTTGAGCAGAAGTTCTTTTCTGTTCCCAGAAATCTGAACAGAGATTTGTTAAGAAGCTTCCAGCTTACAGATATGCAGCTTCAGAGACTGGAGGATGAGGATTTAGATGAAAGGCAGATGTAGGACTCTTTATGGTTGAATGTTTCTCTGAAAGCAAGGCACTGCGCTACATATCTTGCCTGCAAAAAAAGATACAAATCTTCTTAAGGATTAAACACATCCTCTTAAGGTAGTGGAATTCTAGAGAATGTATTCTATATGGAAAAACAGCAGGAAAAAAAAGCAAACTGCACTTTGTATGCAACAGATGTCAGGGTTAGTATAGGCAAATTAATTTCATCTTTTCCTATCAAAGATATTTCTAATAGTTTTGATAATTTGTTTTTCCTTATGCTATACATTTTTCCCAGCATATAATGTGGTAGGTCTCAAGTAGGAAAATTTATGGAATTACAATGAGAGATGGAAAGGCATTTGGGAGACATTCTGTGTGGGTTCTACCAGGTGTAGAGAAAATGGTAGGGATGACCTCTAGCAGACACCTTTAATGTTATTGTCCTTTAAAAATAAAGATGCAAAAAATATATCAGGCTGAAAAATTATTTCCATACTTCAAAGAAGAAAAAAAGAAAACTATATAGGTAAAGTTTTCAAATCTTTAACCATATGGACACTGTCATCCTCCAGGGGATGAGATAGTCATATGCAGTGTGGAATTAGTTCCCACTATCTTCTATATGTGGTTTAGAATGAAAAGAATAATAATCTGAAAATGTATTTTTCTCTCTAAATGCTATATAGGGAATCTAGTAGTAGGCAGACACATAAGCAATCAAGCATCTGCCATTTAATCCTGGGTGAGGCGAGTTCTGTGTTTAGTATCTAATGCTCCTTTCAGGCATTCACTCTGAAATTAAGCACTTAAATTTTTTATTTCTGACTACTGTGTGTCTAAAAACCAGCATTTGTAAATGGGACTGAACATTTTATTGTAGGTGCCTTGTTGAGTTTAATGGGAGAAAATAAACCTGATCCCACTTTAGTTCTGTTTTGGATGCAGAGAGTTTAAAATCTGACTGGTGGGTTTGCTGGGTTAGAAATAATGAAGATTTTCTGGGCTATGCAGAAGAATGGTCTGAATTGTCCAGTGTCAGCCCAGAGGACTCAAATCCAATATAGGACAGAGGAGGGAACCCCCATCCCTGGAGGTGTCCAAGGAACAGCTGGATGTGGCTGGCACTCACAAGGTTTTGGTTACAGATTGGACCTGATGACCCTGGAGGTGCTTCCCAACTTCAATAATTCTGTGTTTATTTAAAAACAAAAAGAATCCCCTTTTCCCCAGTTCCTCACACACAGACATACATGTAAAATCTACAGTATCATTGTAATTTATAGTACAAGTGTGTCTATAGGTTTGGTAGAACCTAAATTATAGTACAAAAGGTTTACTTTAGGGTATGTATGATGCAGCACCTCTACACTCAGAGGATGTGGAGATTTTGCATTATCCTTGAAAAGCCCTTCAATATGAAAGGAACAGCTGTCAGACTTTGTGGGTTTTTGAAAGAAAAATAAAATGTATAATGCAACCCACATGGGTTTGGTTGCCTGTGTTGGTGGTTTGTTGTGTGGTTGTTTTGGTTTGGTTTTTTCTTTTTTTAGTAAAACAGCCTTTTTCAAACAGAACAAGTAAACCTGGAGATCTGAAAATTTGTGTTGTGTGCAGGATCTAACTTTTGCCAAGATCAAGAGTTACCAAGGTAAAAGGTAACATCATGTTTGGGGCCTCTGATTCCACCACGGCGCCGTTGTCCCTCAAAGTTCAGAAGCTTTGTAAATTCCTGTTCAAGGCCTGTGGTTTTCTACACCTTTTATAGAGATGAACTCTGGGGTCTGGGATTTTCTCATCCTTCTCCATATAGAGTTGTTCACTACTTAGATTGCTCTGTTGAAATTTTGCTGTATATATTTTCCACAACACTTTTCCCCATAGAAACCAGGCATGATAACTTTTAAAAAAAGCTGTGGAAAATATTTCAAATAATGCTAAGCTTCTACTGCTTCCCCTCTCCAAGCTTAATAACAATAAATATTTTAAACAGACAGAGAATTTATCCAAAGAACAGGCTGCATTTTCTATGACATTAAAAAAAAATAAATTAAAAAATTAAGTCTTTGTTACTTCATTACCAATTTTCTTGGTGGATCCATTAATTTTTCTTCAGATAAAATGAGCAATCTGTAATTAAAATAAAAAATAAGAAAATAGCAAAATTTTTTTTTTTTTAAGTAGGGTTGTAAGTGTAAGTAAAATTAATCTTGAAAGCTGTGTCAGTCTGATCTTCTTATATGGTGGCACGAGTTCTGACACAGCACTGTGAGGATTCTGTCACTGTGACAATTTTAGAAGCAAAATAAAGACTTGATAGTCCATAACTTGTATAATCGACTCTGAATTTTTTATTAGCATAAAGCCCTGATATAAATTATGTAAGTTGGTTTAAAATCAGACAAGGAATTTATCCAGTTCAGCACAATGAGAGGTTTTTATTGTAAATGCAGGCAAACCCAATGGGAAGAAATGACAATGTCTGACTCAATTCAGAAGGCTGAATTATTTCTTTATTATAACTATGCTAAAATACATCAATATACTATATAAAAGGAGGATACTCAAACTACATACTACTTTCTCTGACTCTAACACAACTCATGACCCTCTCTGGAGAGTCCAGCCCCAGGTGGGTTGGATTGGCCATCAGGCTCAAACAATCTTCACCTGAATCCAATCAAGCACTCACCCCAGGCAAACAATTCTCCAAACACATTCCACATAGGAAAAACAAGGAGCAGAAATATAAATAGCTTTCTCTTTCATTTCTCTCTGTGCACCTCTATGAAAAATCCTGAGAGGGAGAGAAATGTGCTTGCCACAGGTTTTCTCCAAAACAGCTACTTTAGTGGACAAAATGATGGTGATTTCAGCTCATTTTGTCTAATGAGCTAATAAGTTTGGCTAATAAGTGGAAACTCGTTATGGCCCAGTGGTTTGCCATAAATGCTGTAGAAGGGCACCCATGGATTGGCCCACAATATGGGAAACAGCAGAGAGAGCTGCTGGCAGCTGAACCCAGAACAGGTTGTTGTGTGTGAGCAGGGTCCAGAGCGCAGCCCCTCTTCCTTTCCTGGTAAGTGAATTAAATAAACCAAGATAATTCAGGTGGAGGGTGCTCAGCCAGGACATGTGGCAAAGAAATTCGGGTCATTTTCCTCACATTGGTGAGTCCTAATTGATGAAAACCTTTCCCCACACGTGCTGTTCCGCCACCATTTTGGTTCTTTTGGGTTCAGCCGGTCAAGCTGATGGAAGCCCACCAGGGTGTGGAAATCAGCGCCAGCCGGGCCGTGGATTTCACAGAAAGAAGGAGCCAAAACTCAGCGCTTTTGTTAAGATCCGCTAAGGATATTTTGCACTCTGCCTCTCCCTTCCTAAAGCCATCAGGAGAAGCAGCTTCTGCCTTTAAGCTGCCCGTCCGCCATGGTCAGGCACATCCCCCGCTCCGGGGCTGCGGAGGGACCCGACCGCCGGTGAGTGCCTCGGGGAACCCGGGGGGGGGGTGGCGCATCTTTCCCTGCATCTTTCCCTGCATCCTTCCCTGCATCCCTTCGTGCATCCTTCCCCGCATCCCTCCCCGCAATGCCTCCCTCCCCCCCGCATCGCTGCCAGGGCGGCAGTCCCGGTGCTGCCGGTGCCCGGTTCGGTCCCGCGGTGCCGGTGCCCGGTTCGGTCCCGCCCCGCTGCAGCTGAATCACCCTCAGCTTCGGGAGATGACGGTACCTGAGGTTCGGCCTGTGGTTATTGCCATTCTTTTAAACGTCCAAACATTCCCCAAAACATTTTGAATTCCCCTCCTTCCCCCCCCCCCCCCCCCCATCTTGCCCCTAACAAATCGAAAAGCCCTGATACAAAATGCCAGATCAGGGCTGACTGTTCTGACATTTCAGAGCTTTTCATTTTTCTTAATCCTTTTAAAATGCATTTGAAAACACTTTAGCTTGTCATGTCGAGAAATGAAAGCACCCCATTTAGAAGGAGCAAAATGAAACATGCTGGCTGATTCCATGTTAATTTTGCCTTATTTTTTCCCTTCCTGTTTAAACAATTTTGTAGAAAAGATAGAACTGAATAACAGTGAACTAAATATTCATGTTTTGGTGAAGAAAATCATGTCCATAAATGTTACTGGCTTCTGTCAGAAATTAAATGTATTTTCAAAAATATTACATGACAATGCTATTTCAGATGATTAGACAGGTTAAAGCTTTTTTATTTTTTAAAAAATCTTCTTTAACAGTCATAGATATATAGCAGAACTCAGAGACTTTCAATCCATAATCTTTTTTTTCTAAAGCATTTCATACATGAAAAGGGAAGAAATAGGAAAAAAAAGTAAACACAAGTCAAAGATTTCAAAGTGCCTTGCAGTTGAGATCTGTTGAAGTATAAAGCTCTACTGGTATTTCAAATCAATGGGAGCTAACAAAGGTATTAATTATCTCTAGTTCTGAAGGTTTTGATTCCTTATCCTTACAACAGTCAGGTTTGAAATAGCAGAGAAAAAGAAGCAGTCTGGGCTTGTCAAGGTTTTGATAAATACTGCAGTGTTTTGCCTCAGCCATCCAAGTCCATTCTCAGCTCAGCATTCTCTGTAACCCCATTCATAGAAACATATTTGGCCTCAATCCCTTGGAAATCATTTGCTCTCTAATGATCTAGATGCAATCCCTGGATTCTGTGAGGTCAAAGCAGAATTCTGTCCCAAGGGCCTCCAGCTCCAGTACCAAATGACTGAACAGGAATTGGTCTGGATGATCCTTCCAGTTCAGGCTATTCTGTGATTCCAACAGCTGTACTCAAAACCACCCTGCACTGCCACATGTCCAGTGCTGCACCACAAGTCCCAGATCTTTGCAATTTGTGGCCTCAAGTTGTAAGGCTCAAGTGAAACTGTCATGATGGAAAAATCCAAATCTTGGTTCATCTTTGTTTGATGGTGCTGTGAGAAAATGAGCAAACAAACCAACCGACCACATGTGGGCTCTCTTGGGACTTCTTCACCTCTAAGTAAACATATACAGTGGATTTTGCAACTAAAAAATGTTATCCCACGTAAATAAGGGCTATCGTGTTGAAAACTATATTCCTGGTGTGAGCGTCAAATTAATTGGGAATTTTATTTCAAGTATTTAAAAAGCCATTTCAGAAGAAGCAGACCTGTGTGATCAAAAAGCGAGATTTGGTCTGTATTTTAAGCAGAAGAGCTGGAGGGACTTAGGTAAGTGAGTAAAGTAAAATATCTGAGTAGACTTTTCTGCTTAATGTGTGGAAGGCATGCAAAATTATGTCGTCAAATTCAAATTATCCAAGATTATTTACATAGGAATCAAAAGCTGAATCTCTGCAAGCCTGCCAAAAGTTAGACTACCGTGTCTAAATCAATTACTTTAGAATAGCCGTCTGCCAATAGTCCATATGCTGCAATGCAGCTTCTTGGAATCGTACTGCTCCAGAGAGGGAAAAATGAAAATAAAAGCAAGCAGAAGAAATCCCAGGGGACTGTAGCTTCAGGAGGCAAAAAATTGGTGCTTTTTGCTTGCCTGTCTCTTCCCAGTTTCCTGCCCCCTTCAGCGTATGAGAAAGGCAAGAAGAGTTTGTGCACTTTGGAAACTCGATAGGAGGCAGCAGCTGATCTTCCCATCACCAGCCTAAAAATAATCCACTCCAGGGCTTGGAGCAGCTTCACTAAGTGGAGGAAAATCCTGCCATCGGGATGATATTGATCACATAGCACAACCGAGTGACACTTTGGGTTGGTATTTTGGGGTTGTGTTTACAAAGGTAAGCTGCAGAGTTTGATCTAACATTCAGCAACCAAACGGGGCATGCGATGACCCTCCCCCCATTATCTCCCACTAACCACCTCCTCCTCCTCCTTCCCTTTATATCTGTGGGACAGGGCTGCTCCTCGTTCTTTCCTGGGATTACAACTCCAATCTCTTTTTCCTTTTCCATTCGCAGGCGTTCTCAGCCTTTACCGTCCCCTCCTGCTGATGTTTTCTTTGCTGCTGTTCACAGGGTTATGTTTCTTTTTTTAAACTGTCCTGTCTTGGCAATGTGAAGTCGAAGGTTTTACAGCAGGCAGCGTAGCACGCTGGTGTTGGGGATAGCACTGTGTGGAGAAGCTTTCCAAAAAAGAAAGAAAAAAAGAAAAAAAAAAAAAAAAGGCGATGCATTTAGATGTGTGGACCACTGCAGATGTTTGTGTGAAATGCTTTGCAGTGCCAACAGCCTGTTTAGCACCACTGCCGTTGTGATTTTCCCTGTGTTTGGATCCTGATCCAGAAGGCTCCCGAAGTCAATGAGATTCTTTGCATTGACTTCAGCACCGTTTGGATCAGGCTGTGGCACACGGCAGTTGGCGCTGCGAATGCTGACAAGCACCAGAGGTAATTCATCATCCTGAGGCCCAGGGGAAGGAAGAGGGGTCTGTGGAGCATAGGTGGTCACAGCTTAAATAAGGAATAAAAAGAAAATTGTCTTTTGCATGTGGTCATTTTTGATAAGGTGGATTTTAAAGGGACAGTGCTTTCTGCCGTTACCTCAGCAGCGCTCTTTGCAAGACTATAGATCCCATGGGTTGGGTTAGAGTGCTTTTAGGAAGGTAAGAAGAGCAAACTAGAAGGATTCAACCTAGCAAGGAAAAAGATTCAGAGTACTAACTTAAAATCTATGGAAAACCTCAGAGTTAGGCCTTCCATTCAAAGCTATAAATTAATCATTTGTCCTTCGTTAAAATGTACTGCGAGAAATTCCAGAAGGAAAGACAAATTTTACTTTTGTGATTTATCCAGAAGATAAGAACTAAGTACTAGTGTAAAACTCTGAGTATTTTCTTCACCCTGCACCTATATGCATACACATATGTATACACATACATGTTTATATGTATATATGGGCATATAATGCACGTTATGTGTAAGACCAAAATGAAATTCGATCTGAACTGAGACACAAGTATGCTCTGTAAACAGATATATTTTAATTAGGAAGTGCAACTATCAATTTATATATTTTTTTTAAGTATGGACAACAGAACTACTGCAGTAAATGTTCTCAAAATATTCTTATTCCCCCAAACAAGCTCCACCTGAGGAGTGTACTTATACTCATTTTTTTGTAGTCATAAGTACCTTGCAGAGCATGACGATCAGAGTGATAATTCAGGTAAGATTAAACTCTTGAATATGAAGATTTTAAAGTCCACTTTAAAAGACCCTTAAGGTAGTTAAAATGTCTTTAATTAGGATTCTTATAGTTTTGTACTTGGTGAGGGTGTTCTCATAATTTTAATGGAAATTTAGATTATCTACCATTTTTCCATTGTCTTCTTCAGAATTGCTTATGGAAAATATATCTCATGAACTGGCTTAGTGCCCTGAGAATCCCCATTTATGCTTGTTAAAATGCAATTTGTGAGTGCTTAGGTTCAATGTTTTGTCATTTCCATGTTTACGACTTTGACCTATTTTCTTTCTTCCCAAAACTTCTTTCCTCTTCACAGGGAATATTTGTTCATGAATCAATTTAGTTCTATTTTTTTGTTTATTCTCTTATGACTGTGTCTATCCACCTTAGCCTAAAACCAGGAAGTCTTAACTTGCCAGTAATGGGGACCCTAGCATAAAAATTTAAATGCTTAAAGGACATGAGGGCTTTTTTAGCTATTTAATTGAAGGGTGAACTGCTGTTCAGATAGTTCATATCCGCATTAAAGTAAACCAACAGGGAATCAGATTCCCAAATGATGTAAAGGAGAGCTGAAACTTGCCTTCCACTGGTACCAACATGGGCCCATCCTCATGATTATTCTTTCTGTTCCCCTCCTCCATGAAGTTTGGCTGATGGCTTTAGCTCATACTGACTATTCAGCACAAGCCATTCTCAGAGGGAGATGGAAAATCCACCTCTGAGAATCTCTGATGAGTTGTAGAGTTCATAAAGACAGAAGTTAAAGTGAGTAATTTGGCAGTAACTTAGAAAGATGAAGGCCTTCCAGCCTACAAGTGTTAAAACAAAAAACTACCTGGCACTTGGCACTCCTGCTGGGTTGCTGAATGTAGCTGGTGTCCTCAGATGGCACACGCTTGTTATCAGATGATCTTTGTCCCATTACAACATTTCCATGTCTGAAATGATAGCTTAAACCTAGCATGCTTGGCAACATTATAATAAAGTATAACATTCCTGCTATAATTAGCACTGAAGCTAATTGTGATGTACCCACATTGGTGTAATTACCCCAAAATAACTTGTTGGCCTACTGTATTCAACAGCAAGTGAAACTTTCTCTGGGAAAGTCATATTTTGTAGTGACTATAAATAACATTGTCTTTTTAAATGAGTTTATGAGCACCTCAACAGTTATTCTGAATGGCTGCTACTCCCTGATGAAAACTAGTCATTCATAACTGCAGATGACCAAAAAAATTCAAAATAATTTGCTACGCCTTTATCTGTTTTCTCCAGAATATTCACTTTTAGGTTACACAATTTCTTTTTTTCAGTGTGGTAGTTAGACTGCCCCCATTTTGTCCAGACATTGCTGTTTGCCAGTCAAAGCCAGCTTCCTGTAGAGAAGCTCTCAGCTCCAAAGGTTCCTACCTGAGCATGAGCTTAGAGAAAAGGTCAATCCATATGAGAAGAAGAGGCCTTTGCTTTCCAGTGCCTCTCCCTTCCTTTGGGACTCACAGACAAATTTTGCTAAGAGGCTGGTGGACATTTCTCCACTGTTATGACCTTGAGACAGTCCTGCATGAACCAGCTTGGAACTGAAGTAGGGCAACTGCTGCAGTTCAGCTCTGATGTTGAGCTTGATGTGAACAGGGCTTCTTATCTTGGGAACAGCACCAAAGTGATTAGGACTGTTAATTGTGAGACTTGAAGTATGTCTGTGTGGCTCTCTGCTGGACTGTGAGCCCACAGCAAGGCAGGCAGACTGCTGAGGGTGATGAACCTACCTGGGTTTGCTGCTTAATTCACCTGTGTACCCTTCCAGGCAGTGCTGTTTCCAGTGTTCCCAAGGAAGGGTCCTGGCAGGTGTAGGAGGGCAGCTGCTGCTCTGGAATGCAATAACCTCTCTGAGTTGGAGCATTAAAGGCTTTAATATCTTCTGTACCTGTTACAACAGAAATCTTTTCAAATTTATCCTCCTGTGGCTCTGCAGCTCCGTTTTACCTCTTTGATTTCTCCTCACATACTTACTGTGGCCTAAAAAGTCTGCCTCCTCATCTTTGGGAAGGAGAAAATCACCTTTGACCACAGGCTGGGAAAACTTGAGTCAGCTCTGTATTCTCATTTGCTTAGGTCTAATTCAAAGACCTTCAGCATTACAGGTTTTACTGTTCTGTGTGATCAGCATTCTGTCAGTTTTTTGTGGGAAAAACAGAATTAGTATTCAGTTTGTTTAGTTATGTACTTGCATAAAGTGTGGAGAGAAACAAGCAGCACTTCCTCACATGGGCAAGATACCTCTTTTTCCCTCTCTACAGATTTAGTTCTGACTGAAGTCCCAGCATTTACTTACTAGAAGAGTAAAAGCCAAGGCAAGAATAGTTTAATATTTTAATTTTTATTCAAGGAACCAAATTTGATCAGTGGGCAGTCATAAAAGTGTTCCCTCTTCCTTTCCTGCTGCAGTTTTCAATGACTTACAACAGTAAGCACAACTGCAGTTCTTCAATTCTTCATGTTTTGGCTTTGTTTTTTTTGTGGTTTTTTGGGGGTTTTTTTGTTGTTGTTGTTTTTTTGTTGTTGTTGTTTTTTTCCCCTTAATTTCCACGTTTCCATTTCATTTAATTAAATCTTATGGTTGTACAGAATGAAGGGAATGGTGCCTTTTCACTCTTTCACTGGGTAACTGTAATCAAGATCTTCAAACTGTCTTCATTTCCAGGCTCAGTTATTGAGTGAAAGCTTTCAAAACTAGGACTCATTAAAAGTCATTGTAGCTGAGGCCTTTTAACACTCCCTAAAATTCTTAGAATTATTCAAGATCTTTAACTTACAATAGTGAAATCCTGTTTAAAATTTTAACTTTGACTCTTTAATTAGTCTGAAGCTTACTCTGTTTGCAGCTCTAAAAAATGTGTCCTTCTGTAGTTACACTGAACTTTCCAAGCATGGGATCTGAGTGTGGGCACAAGAAATGTTGCCATTCTATTATCAAATTTTTATCTGCAAATTACTGAAGGCTGCACTGTTTCATTGGAGGAGAGATTGCATCTGAAAACTTGTCATGGTCTAACTCCTGCTATTTTTAGTGCAGCTGCAAAAGCATTGTTGAAAAATGCCCTGTACTGTCTAGAGAAATCAAGGATTTGTTCTGCCTTAGGGGCTTTCTTTCTGTCCTTCTTTGGGGAAGAAGGCAGCTTGTTAAACTTTGAGGCTAATGAAAATGAGCTTCTGGAGGCTTGCCCTGATGCTGCAGAAAGTAATGGCTAATTTCAGCTTCCAGCCAAAGGGTATTGACTGTAAATGCAAAGTATCCTCCCTTTGATATCAGCAAAACTTCATCCAGTGTATTCCCCTTATCTAGGAAACTTGTGCCAAGAGGCAGGAACTACATTACATGCTTTATTCCAGGGATTGATGGTTCTGTACACGTTTCCACTCCAGAGTCTCCTCTCTATCTAAGTTTTCAAAAAAACAGAGCAAGGTCCAGCAGTTTGAGTCACAAAACTGTGGAGGGTGTGTGGGGTCTGCCTTCTGAACCAGAAAATGGGTGGGAGGGGAAGGATGGAGTGGTTTCCTGTCTCCCCACAAGGCATGCTGGAGATGACATTATTTCTCTGAGCTCCAAGGTAGTGCAGGGTGTTCTCATTCACCATTCTTGAAGATCCAGAGAGCTGCCAGCAGCAGAAGGTGTTATAAAATTTTGGATATGCCAACAGATGCAAAACATGAGTCCTCCACTCCCAGCCACAGCTTGTTTCCCAGTGGAAATGGAAAAATGGGTGGAAGAAAGGAGGGGAGGGAGGAAGTATCACGGGACTGTTAAGGTTTCCACAGTTCTTATCTCCTCTATCTCCTATCAGTGCCAAACTGTACTGGATGTGTGTCCTGAGCTGAGTGCTGCTAAACAGGGAAGTTGTACACTTGATGATTTGGCATGTTATGAAGCCAAAGCTGCATTGGGGCAGCACAGCACCACAACCCTGATCAGAATATTTTGATAGATTTTAAGCCTGTGGAAGTTTAATGAACATGGTCACTGGATAAACTGATTCATGATGAGGTTTTATGATCAAAAATCTTAGGAATTTAGTGTCAATTACCCCATCTCATTTAATTTGCCATGTAATCTTTTTTATTTTCAATTTTTACAAACTAACCAACCTAGGCTTGATTTTCTCTCTATTTTTAAGAGAAGGCAATTAAATTCTACTTCTCTTTTTTTGAAATGAACAAAAGTATTGTGAATAGACTGCCCTTACCTTCTCTTGAAAAAGATCACCAGTATGATGGGCACTGTCTCTAGATATTGGTATTAATTAATAGGACCAGTTCTTTTCCCAACCCTGGCAATGTGCAAAGGACAATTGGTTTTAAGAGCGTTACTGGACATACTCCATTACAAAACTAGGCATAGCACAGATTCTTGAGAAGATTCAGATGTGATTCTTCAAAGACACATCTTGCATGAGAGCTTTTAGCAACTATAGTGTGAGGTGTGATAGGAAACCTCTGCAAACTGATGGTGGTCTCCAGTTAGGAGAAAACACTCTTCCTGCAGTTAATAGTCCTTCACTTGAACATTTGCTGCCTCTATTCTATTTCCCTTCCAGAAAAATGGGATAAAACCAACAGTTCCCTTAGCTTCCCTTGGATGTGGTTTTCATCCTTTCTCTGATTGATTTTTGACTAGAAGCCAAAAGCTACACAGGGAGTCAGTGATTCAGTGCTCATCTGAACCCAGGATTCTCCTGCCTTTCAGTACCACTCCAACCACTAGACCACAACAGCATCTTATGCTGTCTCAGAAGAGAGTCATCCTTGTGGGAAAGGGAGGAAAATTCCCAGCAGAACTCCCTTGGACTTCTGACCTTCGATAAAAATGAGGAAACAGCACTTCTGATTTTCAAGAGATTACCATTATCATTATGTTTCCCTTAAAGAAGACATGACAAGCTTTCACAAATTAAACCCAAACAACCGCTTTGTAGTTTTTTTTTAAAGTTCCTTTTTTGTTTTGCTAATAACTTCTCGATATAGTCAGAACAGAATGTTTCCTTTTTGTTACTAGCCTTATGCATTTATGAATGTATTTAGGTATAAAAATAAAATTATAGAATGATAGTGGTCATATCACTCTATTCATTATAGAGAACGGCCCAAAATCTCCATCAAATTGTGTTACAGCACATGGACTGTTAGCAGATGGTGGTTACTGAAGTTTGAGTCAGTTGACCCTCAACTTTTGCCTCACAGTGAGTACCTGAATGTGAGTTGTGTTTAACTTCTGATGACTCTCAGCCATAAACTGTTGATATATTTGGGAAAGGGAGTGCATTTATTACACTCCTTTCAAAGAAACTCCTCTTCTCTGATGTGTTTTGATATGGGTGTGATTTTCAGATCCAAAAAGAACTTGCTTAAACGCTAACAGAGGGTTTAGCAGAGGTTCAATATGCTTCTTTGAATTCTATATTTTTGTGAAGATCTGCGTATTTGTTCTGTTTCTAAGGGACTACCTGTGTAGTTTATGCTTACCTTGTTATGATGACCTTATTTAAACAACTTACAGAACTAATAACTATATGAGGAAGGAAGGAAATCTTTTTCTCTACATTCAACTGACTTTTTTTTTGTTTTTAAACCGCATTTATGCATTTTCTGCATTCCTATCTTGTTCTGATTCTGCAAAACCTATTAATGCCACCGTTCTTGCAGACAGATGATTTGCTGAATTAAATCTATTCCTTCTATTTTAGCATGTAAAATTTGAGAAAAGAAAAAGGTGTGGATAAATGAGTTTCCACAACTTACTCTGCAGCACTATGTTGCTCTGTGTAAGGTTCAGGCAAAGGAATGAGCAAGGAAAGACTTGGTTTGTGGTCCTTTTTCATCTTCTTGTAAAGAAGACTGAAAAAATAAATGATGCACAGGTTGATTTAAGCCAGAACCTGGCCATTACTCAGGATCACTCTACGGCCCATGCTCTGCAAGCACGAACACAGGAGCTTATCGTGGTGTACAAAGATAATCTCACAAGAAGTCATGGAAATCAGAGACTGCTGGGATGAGTCTAAGCACATGTTTAAGGGTTTTCAGGATCAAACATAAATGCTGATTTACTGCCTAGGTAATCTTCAATACCACCTACTTTGGTTAAGAGTTGGCCATTTTTCAGTAATGTCTCCTGTGTGTGGCCATTGTTCTGTGTGACAATGAAGAAATACAAAATATTAGTGGGTGCAAAGCTGCCAGATCACAAATACCAAAGGTTCAGAGCTTGCACGGGGAATGCAGTGCAACAAATTGTTGGAGATATGGCTCCAAAGAAACAGCAACACACAGATCAACTTTTGTCCATTTGGTTTTGTTACGAGAAATGGAAATCCTTATTTTTCAAATCTTTTACTTTCTTTCTTTACAGTCTCACAGAGCTATTTCAGCATAGTGTTTGTGCCTTGAGTGAGCACTAGAAGTTATAGCATGATGTATTAAAAATAGCACTTAAATAATGAATTCAGCTAAATATAAACAATATTATCAAAATATAAATAATACTAATGTCATATAAACACAGCCTTCTAATGTGCTTGTATTTGACATAGCCCAAAATAATTTTCAAAACGCAACTGTGTTGTTCTCTATGCGTTCTTCAATATGCTCTTTCCCTGTCTCTTTATTATATTTATTTTGTCTTTAGCCAAAGGGAATGCTGGCACTCTTGGTAGTCAACATTTCTCTCATTTGTGTAGTAGCCAGACCCTCTGGAAGAGATGAGACTCGCATTTTGTGGGAATGACAATGCCTCAGCCTACAACATCAGTGCTGGTGTCCTCAGGAATGTCTGCTTTGTGGATGCCCTCAACTTGGTCCCTCATGTCTTCCTGTTGTTTATCACCTTCCCCATTTTGTTCATTGGTGAGTTATTCCATGGAGTCTTGCCATCCCACAAACACTCCAGCATGTGTTTCTACTCAGTCATGTTTGCATGGGCTTGGTGGAACCATTAAATGCTTTGTATTTATGAATTCTGAAAAAGAAGAGGAAGAATGGCTTCACCAGATGATGTGAGGCCAACCTGCTGAAATGTGGGAATTTTAGATATAAATCTGAACTAATCAGCTTGAAGAGATGGATGAGAACCAGAGAGATCAGATCCAAATTTGCTATCAAACTTCTCTCTGCAGAAGTTTTCTTCAGATTTGAAATTGGCAACTTGCAGCCTTTGTTATTATTAGATATTAGAAGACTTAGAGCAGTGGGTCTGAATGTCTTTGAAGTTACATGAATTACAGAGAATATCAAAATGTTCACCTTGGATCTAAGGCTAGGATAAGTGTAGGAAATATTGAAAATAGAACAATTTCTTCTTTTGCCGACATTTGTAAGAAAAAGTAGAGCAATAGAGATATATAATTTTTTCCCAACAGAAATAAAAAATAAGAAATTATAAATCCCTCTTGAGGAATTTAGGACAGTGGAGGGGCTCTAACTCATATAGTCTTGTAAAAAAACCCATCTAAGCTAGTACTCTAAGGATATGTTTTTTCTACAGTTACCTTTTTATCCCAGTTAATTTGCAGTGGTGAAATAAATACAATTTAATACTTTTCCAGAGAGGTCAAACAGTAATGTTCTAACTGCTTATAGCATAATATGACACTTGAATAACCATCAAAAGTATTAGCGAAAAGAAATATTCTCCTGACAACTGTGTGAGAAATGCCAAGTCAGTTCTTCCATGTTACCTTCCTGGTGCTGCATGTGTAGATGGTAATGCATTTCTTCCACAAGGAAGATTTGACTTTGGGACTGTATTTGGACATGAGATTTAAGGGCTTTCATCATGCAAAAAGACTGCAAAGTGGTTGAATAAAATGCTACAGGAACCTGTGGGCTAAAACACTCTGTACCTAACTTTGACATGATCCAGCAACTAAAAACTAATTAAATAATTAAGCAAGAGAATAAGAAACAAATTCTAACAAGTTATAAAGACTGGAAAGAAACCCCAGGGTTATGGAAACTCTCTCCAACAGTGCTGGATTTTTACCTCAGTGCTGGCTCTTCCTTTGAGGTGAGATGCAGGTCATCCTTGAAGAATAGGCCTTTATGCAGAAGTATTTGATGGAAGTACAATGCAAGGTCTGAGGGCAGAGATAATATTTTAGAACCCTCTAGCATCAGGTGCTGCTTCTTTTTTTTAAGGGTTTTAATTTTTATTAATTTTTAATTTTTATTAATTCACAGCTGCTGAAAATTCCCTCTATTTTGTGACAACATTAGGAAAAAATATAGGATTTTAAATTGTGTGCTATTTATGTAAATATGTAATTCTTTGTTTTCCATTTTATATGCTAATTATCAGGACATGTAGTTGTTGAATAGAGCTTTGAAATCCAACTGGAGTCCACGGTATACACTGACTCCAAACCAGAAATTTGATGATAGGCTGGTTTGTGCAGATGTGTGGGCAAAATAAAAGTAAGAAGCAGCTTGGGAGAGACAAAGACAGGAGCAAGGTCAAAGAAAACCACATTAGGTTAGGAAAGTCTTAGAGAACTATGGAAAATGCTTGAGATAGCTATGGAGAAGAGAGAATAACTTGTTCTTGCAGAATTTTGTGTCTTAACCAAGGATGAAATGGTGAAATGCTGACAGTTTCCAAGAATGAATAAACTTAGGTTTTGGTTTATGTGTTCCTGAGTCACCTGATGAGCCCCTAAGCACGATTAGGCACTGCATCCTTGTGTAGCAAAAGTACATCCTGGGTTTTAAACCGAGTTAGTTTTGTTTCCTTTTGTTTCCTTTTGTTTGATTTCTTTACTTCCCCAAAATGTGCTGTTGTTGGGATTCCCTACAGGCTTTGGGAAGCCTGTCAGGGAATTCCAGGAGCTGCTTTACAGCAGGAGGGACTTTTTGGCCCTCTGGCTGAGCACAGCCCTGTACCTGTGCAGGAAGAGACAGAGGCTGAGGCTCACTGTGTGAGAAGCCAGCCTGTGATCAAGCCTCAGTTTCCTCATCCCTGTCACCTCCCTCAGATCCTCTGTTGAGACATTCACATTCTCTGGACAGAGAGATATAATTCCATCTCTCAGGAGAAGCACAGAGAGAAGAGAAAACAATCTTTATCTCTGCTCCTTTGTTTTCCCCATGTGGAAGGTAGTACCTGAAGTGATGGCTGGATTGCATTCTGGTGAAGGTTGTTTGGGTTCAATGAACAATCACATCCAGCTGTGGCTGGGACTCTCAGCAGAGAGTCATGGGTTTTGTTAATTAGTTAGGTAAGTAAGAAGTAAGTATGTAGAATAGTATAGTATCTCTTTAAATAGTATATTCATGTCATATAGTATAGTTTTAATAAAGCAGATCCTTCAGCCTTCTGTTTTGGAGCCAGACATCATCATTTCATCTCAACATCTGGGGTTCACTGCATTTTTTTACTATATTCTGTGTCCCACCTCTTGCTGGGTTGCTGGCCTCAGAGAGGATCTCTGCTGGAAAGGGGAGGTGACATCTGAGGTGATGACAGGGAAATTGGCTTCAGGTTGAATTTGTTAATTAGTTTGAATCCCTGTGCTGTGTGGGGAGCTCTGAGGGGCCAGCAGTGCAGAGGCCTGGGCTGCACCTGAGGGAGAGAAGCTGTGAAATCACTCTTCAGCCTTCACTCAGACTGTGCTCCCAACCCCTGAAACAGATAATAAATGTTACTTGTTATGAGTAAATGCATCTCTTTGCGGCCTCATTTGAGGATGCAACTTTTATATCAGCTGGAAATATTTCCCTCTGTGACTGTGGAAGACGTGAGGATGCCATTGCTTCAGCTCTGTTGGTCCCTGTTGTCTGAGGGGGCCACTTGGGGTGGGTTTTTTGTTGTTGTTTTCTTTTTATTTGTCTTGGTCAGGAAGGACTTTTCTTTGATTGTAATTGGAAAAAAGGGTTGTCTCATTGTCTTCAGGGTTTGATTTAAATTACTGGGCAACTGAGACACTCCTGGCTCATCTTTCTAGTAACAACAGTCCTGTAGTCTGTAGTTTGTACTGACTGCATGTAAATGTGGCCCAGAAAATGGATAAGCAGATCAGTCACTGACTTGCTGTGAGATAACCTTTCTCTTTCCTTGCTATCATTTCCCAGGCTGGGGAAGCCAGAGCTCCAAAGTGCAGATTCACCACAATACCTGGCTGCACTTCCCCGGGCACAACCTTCGGTGGATCCTGACATTCACCCTGCTGTTCGTGCATGTGTGTGAAATAGCAGAGGGGATTGTTTCTGACACGTAAGTATCAGAGTTTGGTGGATAACTATGCTAATTGCATTTGTTAATGGACAGTGTTAATGTCTGATGTGCTGGCTGGTAAGGCATGAGGAAGTTTACCCCAAAAAGTTCATAGAATCCTTTCAGGAACTGTCCAGGTTTTAATGGGATGAAGGTGAAGCCATTGTTTTTAGCATTTATTCTTCTCTCAAGCTGTAATGGCAAGCAAATATTGATCAAAGTTAAGCACTCATGAGGACAAAAATCTTTTTGTCTCCAGGAAATTAATGTTTGTCCTCTTCAATAAATTAGCAGAACACCTATGGTTTCACACAATGGCGAAAAAAAGGCACTAATTTCACTAATTTATACCATATTTATTTTCAGACAAATGAAATCTCGCCATCTGCATCTCTTTCTACCAGCTATAATGGGATTTGTGGCTGCCACTGTGTCCATAGTCTATTACCATAATATTGAAACATCCAACTTTCCAAAGTTACTGCTGGGTAAGTCTAGGTCTGATATTTATGTGCTTTTACAAATCCCAGTATTTTAGCCAAAGTCAGCTTGTGTAGGTTAAGAAGGATGGTGAAATGTGTGAGATTATTAAAACAGAGAGGAAAGTCTCTGCTCTTGCAACTGGTAGTATCATAGGAGTTATTACACCTTTCATAAGGTACACACTTAAAACTACTTTTAAAATTACTACAAAAGAGAAAGCCATGCATGCCTGTGTAATTTCTATCACGAGCTTTTAGGTATTCTTTAACCCTGGTGATAATTTTGAGGAAAATCTTGTCTGCATTTAAAAGGCCACTTGGAATCATGATGTTACCACAAACTCCTGTGCAGATGCTGCTCTTTCTCAACATCTTTTGCATCTGATTCTGAGATTATCCCGTCTGCTCTCTCAGTCAGGAGATGGTCAGACCAGACATGGCAGAATAATGTTCCATGCAAGTATATTGTCCAAATTGCCTGTAACTCAACCACCTAAACAAGGCCTGACAGATACCAGCCAGGATGCAGGCCCACACTAAATACCATAAACTCTTTTTCAAAATGAGCACATTTCTGTATTCTCACTTGGAATGCACCCTGCTTTTCCTAAGAGGCAATATGACTTCTGTTGTGTGCCTTTTCCTTCACTATAAGAACAAAGTTCCCCTTCAGATTAAGTCTCCTTCAGTGGACTTTTGTACCTGTGTGAAGATTTGCCATTGTGGATCTGTTTGAAGGGCTGTGGCCCAGAAAAGAAAACAGGGGCTGGAGACATAGAGGATCACTCTGCCTGCACTGTGTCAAGCCATGGAAGCTAAAATGCTGTAGTTACACTTATTTATTAATTTACTTTTAAATGATGCACCTGCACCTGTTTTACAGCCCTGTTCCTTTACTGGATAATGGCCTTTGTCACCAAAACCATCAAGCTTGTCAGATACTGCCAGGACGGGGTGCCTTTTTCTCAGCTGCGTTTCTGCATCACTGGAATCATGGTCATCCTCTATGGGCTGCTGATGGCTGTGGAGATCAATGTCATCCGAGTCAGGGTATGTGCCTTCTTCCTCAGGATCTGGAAGAATATCAGTGGCATCACGGGGGTGAAGATGGCTCCTTAGTCCAAGGAACTCTGGCTTTTGTCAAGTTTAGACACAAGTTTCGCTTAGCCAAAAAGGTTTGGTTAATTCTGTGGATATCCATGGTGATTTAAATCTCTTTAAAATGTATGTCCTTGATGTATCCCCTGGGCTTGGTGTGTGTGCATGCCTGTGTGCATCTAACTACATAAAGTGTAGATGGATGTATATTTGTGCACATGAGGAAGGTCTAGGTGGATGCAATCTGTAAAACTTGTGCTGTGTTAGTGCTGATGAACTATTTATGTAGTGAATCTTTAAATTAGCATATGTTCTTACCCATGATAACTTAGATTATTTCACAAGAATTCTTTTTTACTGTTGTTCAGCTTGAGATAGTTGGTACTGGTAGGGTTCAGAACAGTATCCACATCCCTTGTTGCTCAATTGTTTACCAGTTATCTGTCAAAATGGAAATGCTCCTATTTGAACACTAATTTATATTTAAGTTCAACATATAATTACATTTAAAAGCAAATTTGAGACCGTGGTTGTCTTGCACGTAGTTTTTACTAGAAAATTACTATCAATAAGATAATTTCTGAGCCCATGTTTTTCTGTTTTCTCCTCTGCAGAGGTATGTGTTTTTCATGAACCCTCAGAAAGTAAAGCCTCCAGAAGATCTGCAGGATCTGGGGGTGAGGTTCCTGCAGCCATTTGTCAATTTGCTCTCAAAGGCAACTTATTGGTGGATGAACACTCTCATTATTTCTGCTCACAAGAAACCTGTGGACCTGAAGGCCATTGGGAAGCTCCCAATTGCAATGAGAGCACTGACAAATTATGTCTGTCTCAAAGAAGCCTATGAGGAACAAAAGGTAATAATGGATGTCCATGTCACTGTTCAGCTTTAGAAAGCCAAAATGTCCCTTTGAATTTCTTCAGCTTTCATGAAATCCTTGTTTTAGGAAATTTTATCTTAGGACTGTTTGTTCTAAGGTGAAACATTGGCGTAGGAAGTTCCAATCCAATAGTTACTGTTTGCTTTTAAGTGAATTTATAGCAGGAGAGAGTTGCCAAATTGAGTGCATCTGGAAACTAAAACCACAACAGACTGATCACTTGCTAGATTTTAATAGTGAAAGATTTGTTTAAATCTTAGCTACTTATGAAACTATGTCCATAGTTTCAGCTGGAAACACTCATCTTCACCTTTTTTTTATCAGAGAAATAGCCAAAACCACACATCAAGAATAGCCAAAACACTGGTGTCTTAGCAGTGATTTAGTCACCAATCCCAAACACAGAACCATACAGCCTGTGGTGAAGAGAATTAACTCCATCCCAGCCAGACCTAGTACAGAAAGCATGGTTGGGAAAACTCACTGGGTAGAGCAGGATTTTCCAGGGAAACTTCTGGATGCATTTAGGCAGCTCTTTGCTCCCAGCAGCTAATGGAGCTGCAGGCTCCTTTCTGTGCCTTCTGAGATGAAACAATTATCAGTACAATTATTTACATTTTAATAGATATAGTTTGCTTCTCTTCTGCACTTGAGGATTACAGAGACCAGAGATCAATATCCTTCTGCTTTAGGCAGAAAGCTACTGAGTTTTTGGAACTGAGCTTTTCATAGCAGCCTGGGAGAAGTGCATTCCTCAGACAAGCTCCTTAAAGGGCCTGAGCCCTACTTAAAGAGGCAAAAGAGGGATATGCACCTCCATGGCCCAAGGACCTGAGTCTGTGCCATTCTTGATGGCAGGCACAACAGCTGGGTGCCAGCATTTGTCTGTAGTTCTTTCTCATCTGCAGGTACTGTCTGTGCCTGCACAAAAATGCAGTTCAGATGCCAAAAGTCAAGGTAAATGTGCATTTCTCATGTGCATGAGCACAAACTTTCAATGTGTAGCTTCCCTCAGTGTGTGTCATGTACATATAAACACTTGCATAAATGTTATATATGCAGTTACATTTCTGAAGCTGCCTTACATCAGGTATTTTGTGTTCTGCAGTTGCTTAAAGCCTTGAGATTACCACCACCTCTAGCACATTTGTGCTACTATTCCACAGCAGGCTGCAACCTTAAGTAAACTGGTATTTTGTAGATAAAGTTAAAGTAAACCAAATGGCTAAAGCAAATCCAAGGAGCCAGGCAGTGGGACTCACTGCTGTTCATTCCTGTGGAGAAATGCATTGGCTTGTGCCTGGGTGGGCCAGAAAACAGCCACAGAATTAGGAAAATTCTTCAGACTGGAGTGTGGTCTACAGTCTGGAGGAGGTGATATGCCACTGTCTCTGCTGCAAAGTGTGTATTTTACACTAATCTCCTGCAACTGGTGAGGGGAGCCCCACAGCCTTCTCTGGATTAAGTGGGGTTACCCCAGCCTGAGCCTCCAAGTAGGTGATCTCAGCTGTGCTCCATGGCCTGGCAGAGAGTAAACTCCTGTTCCTTCCCAAACCCCTCTTCTCACACTTTAATGAAAGATTCTGAACATGACCTTGAATACTCTGTATTGTGAAATGCCTTTGAGATGGCTCACATGACATTGTCTTGCTATCTCTTCTGCATGCTATGAAAATGGAAATAATTGTATCAATTCTCACATATTTCCATTTACATTCTCCCCCCCCCGAAAAAAAAAAAAAGTGATCCTTTTTCTGTTGTTGCTTGGCTTTTGTTTCAGTTTCTATTGTAGCAGTCTAGATGTTTCACACCACATATCAGTGCATCATAGATCACATATCCAAAAATAGATTTAGCACATCAGTATTGCTTTTGGTTTACTCCACCAGCCTGAATCCTGTATAGTTTGTCCTGATGGTTCTTCTTTCTGGCACTTAATAGAAAAATCAATTTTTAAAGTCAAGGATCATTAGTTTCCTATGTCCGCTATTTATGTGCCACTATGGATCTTAGCTGTTAGGGCCAAGAAAAGGAGGAATGAAATTGTGTTAACTATCAATCACAGGGACAGGGCATTGTCCTTCAGCACCAGGCTTATACTGCCAGCTCCAGAACCATGGGAACAGTCAGATTTCCATATTTACTGAGGCAAGACTTACAGGTGACTTGATTTATCACAAAGCACTCTCTCACTGCCCTTTATTCCAACTGTGGAGTGCCCAAGGTAGAGAAAATTAGGAATCTGAAAGGAAGTTGACAAAGACAAGGAAAACCTAATCAAGTGGCACAGCTGAGAACAGCAGCCCAGACTGGTTAATTAATACCACAACATTCTATGCAAGCCCATAAAACTCAAGGCTCATTCTGGAAGAGAATATATAATTAGAAAAAGGTCTTTCTCTCTCCTTTCTTTTTTACATACTTCAGCTAATACAAAGTCCTGATTAAAAAAAAAAAAAAAACTGAAGAAAAAACAGTGTTTAGCAATAAAATAGCTAATTTAATTAGTAATTTTTTCCAATAAAAAGGAAACAGATTTCATATAGTGATGGCCAATGTGTGAATTGCAGTAACAGTGAAACTGGCTATTAAATTGTTAGAGAAATAAGGGTTTACCATTGCCATTTAAAAATTTTACTATTAACTGAATGCCCAGAATAATATAACAATTTTTTCCCCAAAAGATGGCAGACATTTACCCAATAAATTAGCTCCTCTCAAGCTGTTAAAGCTATTAATCATTTATTTGAGGATGGTGATTAATCCTTTTAGGGCACTCAGGCTCAAAACCCATTAGGCCACAAATTCAGAGCCTTTTGTCTGGGAAACTCACATGAGGCCCTTGTGCTCTTTCCCTCCTCAGAGGAAGCAGTTTCATTCTCACCCCCTTCTGAAATGGTGGCTCTAATTTGACCCCTTGGTGCTTATTTCTCCTTCCTAAGCTCCTTGGTATTGGCCTGGCCCAGTTTCTGGCAGCCACCTGATCCACCTGCACATTTTTGGCACCATGCATATAACCCATCTTGCTGTGGAAATGGCATAAAAGGGAAAAACTGAGAAAAGAGGGAGGAAAAAGGCATGAGGCAGTCAGGCAGGTTACAGGCACGTTTTCTTTTTCTTTGGTGAACTTGTTGGGGCAGGGGGTGGTTGTTGCTTGGCTGTGCTTAAAATGTCTCTGTGAATGCTCAAGAGGGCTTGGCTTGGCTTGCAGGCATCTGTGCTACTTGAGAAATGACAGATGCTTGTTTAAAGTGTCAAAAGCTGCTGCCTGAAGTGCAAGGAGGCATGCTGCAGAGCATGGCTCTGGTCAGTAAAACTCTTCCTTTGTTAAACTGAAAGGACCTCAAAGATTCCAGAACTCTTTTGATTACACAAAGCTGTATCTGCTGGTTGGTGTTTTAGCCAAGAGCTGTGTTACTGTGTAAATTCACAGCTCTGAAGGCTAGAAAGGACCTTTGGTTGATTTAATCTTACCTCCCATCCTGGTATGCTGCTTTCATTTTTTGAGCATAGTTATTGATTGGCTGAAGTGTCATCCTGGAGTGCATCCAAGAAATGGAAAAAATCCCGGATAAATTAAATTAAACTATATTCTTGTAGTTGACATATGTTTTTCCTGCAATCAAAAGCCTTTATAGGTTGTGAAACCAGGATTACCCACATGAGTAAAGGGCTGAAAGGTCAGACCTTTCCCTGAGCCCATATGTGACAAGGGACAATGGCTGCCTGCCAGGATGATAATCTGTGCTTGCATTCCTGTGTTCACAGGCTGAGGAAAGTGGTGGGATGTAGAGGTGAGGAACCACATTTACCAAGAGGAGGCAGAATCGGAATTTGCTGTGAAGAATGTCTGAAATCTGTCGATAATTACAGCGTGTTTGCTGCCTCACCTGGTCCAAAACACCTTTCAGAAACTGTTTGGGCATCCAGACAGGAATGTTGCTGTATAAAGCCTGGGAGGCTTCTATTATTTCATGGGTACCCGTTTCTGTTTTCCAGAAAAAGGTGGAGGACCATCCCAACCGGAGTCCCTCCATTTGGTTGGCCATGTACAGCGCTTTCGGACGGCCAATCCTGCTCAGCAGCACCTTCCGCTACCTGGCCGACCTGCTGGGCTTTGCTGGGCCACTCTGCATTTCTGGCATTGTCCAGGGCTTCCAGAATACAACCAATAATACAAATGCCACAGAAAAGGTAACTTGACAATGTGGATTGAAAGGTTCTGGTAGTAGTTTTAGAGTCGTATCAGGTATTTAAGACAGCTGGCTGCATGCTTCGGTAGGTTTGTGGTCATCCCTGTGTTATTTCATAGTTTCTCTTAAGCAAATTGAATATTTCTGTTGTGAGACACAGTAAAATTATAAACCTGAGCAATGAGAGACTTGGGTAGGAATGGAACACAGGCTGTGGAGGCTCCCCCCCCCCCACCAGCTCTTCAGCTGTCTGTCTTGATAGAGTTATCCCAGCAGTTCTGGGAAGAAGGAACAATTTTTTCTGTTCCTTTTCAAGTGTGCCTGTTTGTTTCAGGCAGGACACACACTGGTGGTACCTCAGTGATGCATCCAGCCTGGGAATTTTGCTTAATTCCTGTCCAATTCTCAGTTTATAATTCACTGACAGTTTCGAGTTCTCTCAAATCTGTTTTTTTATACTGGGAAGCTGACAGTAGCCAGTCTCTGTTTTTGGCTGATTGTATTGATTGCTGCTGTGATGAACTGTGTTGGCACATACTGAGAAATTGAAAAATATCCACTTGACTTAATGGTGTTCTTGGTACTGGAGAAGCAAGAGATGCCAGATCAGTGCTCATTTCAAATTTCACCGAGACTGAACTTTCAGGAATCACATCTAAATGCAGAGCAAGCCTCTGTTATAGAACATTTTCTCTCACAAGAAAAAGAATTTATGAGTAACTAATGAAAAGATACAGGTAAAATTATTTTACTGACATCAGAGAAGAAGTTACAAAGACATTTTCCTGCATTTGTCTCGTGACAGAGAAACATCTCCATACAGTTTTTGGAGTGTTTTATCTCTAAATAAGCAGATAGGTGTGTAACAGAATAGCATTTTCCTCTCCAGATAAAGTATTTGACTCTCATCACTATCCACATATCTTTTTCTTGGCTGCTCACTCATGACATTCATTTTCTTGACTGATGGTCTCAATTTGGCTTGAGGCTTTCACTGCACTGAAGGAGAGTTTAATTGTACAGCTTATCAAACAAAGCTTTTTATCATCCTTGAACCTGCACATACAAGATTTGAGCCACAGAGTTACAAGGCAAAGTGCATACTTTTGTGCCTTCAAAAATGTTGGGGTTTTTTTGCATTGTGAACAAACAAAGTATTTAAGCTTGAAAAGAATTTATGGATCTCAGCTTTAGGAATTTGTACCTTGTCTGCTTCCTTTATCTTTTGTCCTCTTCAGTGTAGTGGCTTCAGTTGTGGCTTTTTGAAGTTTTAATGAGCATTGGCTAAATGGAAGACTGGAATTATTGGAGATCCTGAAAGCACTTGGCTTGGTGACAGTCACGATTTCTCTTGGATACCTTTCAGAATGCATGTGCCTTTAATTTATGGATTTTGATAAACTTTCCCTTGGTTGTTCTTGCTATTAAACAGTGCTCCTTTAAGTTCTCTCTAGTTCCGATTAATGTGAATACATTTAATTTTATGCTTATTCTGCCTTAATTCCTGAGAACTCTATATACATTGAAAAAAAGCCATCTACAAATGTTATTTTCTTAATGATATCCCCACTATGAAAACCAGGGGATGTTAGATGCAGCAGAATATTAAGAGGGAAGTTTTCAAATATATTTATCACACCATTAATGCATTTAAGCAACTCTTTTTTCAAGGAGACTTGGGCAAATTGCTTTCTTTCTTATATTGCCCATAGCTTTCATCTCAGAATCATGCTGGATATTTCAGGAGAACAGGCTTTTTCCTTCTCTTTTTTTCTTTTTTTTTTTTTTTTTTTTTCCCTGTAAGAATTCCAGTACATCCTGCTTCCAGCTGGGTCGGAAATACCACAGGAACAGTCTTCCTTGGAGTATTTTGGTACATTTGTTTCCTTTTCTGCCTGAAACAGAGCAGAACAGTGAACACAAAAAACTAGAAAATGAAAACAAAAGGCTTTAAACATGATTTTTTTTCTCTTCCATATTGAGGCATTTAAATCTCTTTTTGTGTGGAATACTGGCATGTATAATCTAATGTTATTCTAAATTTATGGCTATCATAGACTGTACTTGTGGGAGGAATTGTTTCCATAGTATGCAAATGCAACGTAAATAACTAATCCCATATAATAAAAAATATTTCCTTGCAGCTTTTCTGTGAGGCAGGTGGAATAAGCTTTATTTTCATACTGAGCAACATTTCTATCCTACAAATCACCACAATTTGATGGGGAAACTAGAAACAAGGCAGACACAGTGATCTTATTTTTCCTTTCCTGCTAAAATGAAATAATTTTAGAACTGCTAAAACATCTCAATCCTCAGTCTTTGGAACAGGAGCAGAGTTTTAAATTTGTATCCAAATGATTTTGATATAGAGTTCAGTGAGAAATCTGATTTCTATAACTTTCCTATGATACCAGCAATGTGTTTTATTCTAATGCAATGATTACATTTGCTTGTTTCCAGCTTCTCAGGAATATACAATCCCTCCTATGGCACTTGCATAATTTTTTTCTTTCTTTTCAGGTGAAGGATCCATCAAACTCCTACCTTTCATCGGAGGAATTCCTCAGGAATGTTTATGTCTTGGCAGTCCTTCTCTTCCTGGCTCTTATCCTGCAGAGGACATTCCTGCAGGCCTCCTACTATGTGACTACAGAGACTGGCATCAACCTCCGGGGTGCCTTACTGGTGAGCAAAGATATGCCAGGAGATTCACTAATAACAGCTCCAGCTTCATCCTTTCCTTTGTTTTGCCCTTCATCTGAAGACTGAGCTTGAAATGATGGTTTCAGAGAAGATATGTGCTGTATTTCTATACAGAAAACTGGACAAAAGAGTGCTGGCAAACTGCTGGCACCAATTCCTTTTGCTAAAAACTAATCCCATCATTCTAACCTGTTGGAGGTTTAACACCCATAAAAACCCATGCATATGAAAACACATCTTTGCAGACAATGAGAGATAGATGAAGATCAGCAGTGCCATTTTGGCTCTGAATCTGCTTTGTGAGTTTGCTTGTGAGTTGGTTTCTGCTGACTGTGGACAGAGCCATCTGCAGCGTGTCCTTGTTTTATGGGAACGCTGTGCATGCGTCGGGAGTGGTGACTCTGGATATTTATGCCCTTTAGCACAGAGCCCTGTGGGATGGGATGGGAGTGATTCATCTGCAGGGCTGTGTCTGTAACCCCAGCATCCCTTAACCCTCTGTGAGAGCCTTATTTATGGACTGGAGCCAGCATGGCCCAGCACGTGGTGGGGGGTGTTGCAGGGCTCTGCACAGACCAAACTCCTCAAGCTGCAGTAGCAATCCAGAAGCAGGAACTGATGTTTTGCCAGATGTAACTAACCATGGGAATATCATCTCATCATGGAAGCTTTTTTTTTTTTTTTTGTATTTGCTCTGATTAATGGAGCTGCTTCAAACATTTTCTGCCTTCTCCCAGGATAGTTGGTACAGACTTGGGGATGAAAGAGCTCCTGGTTTTTCCTTTTTGTGACTCCTTTTTGTGACTCCCACTTAGCAAAATTGGGACTCTTAGGAGCATATGCAGCTGATCTAATTCACCAGGCATTTCTGATTAAATCTATAGGATATACTTTATTAATTAAGAAAATAGGTCAAAAAGGACAAATTATTTTTAAAACTTCCTTGGAGCTGCAGCATTTGATGTTTGGTCGTAACTGCAAATTGGGCTCACAATATTTGTCTTTAAAATTCAGTAGATGTAAGCCCTGATTAATTTTAAACCTTGTTTAACTCCTACAAATTTTATGGAAGGGAATGGCCAGGTAATGGAGAGGAACCCAAAGGAATACATACCCACTCTGATCAAACTTCACAGCATGAATTTACCTGTCTTATCAGAAACAAGAATCTCTTTGACAGACAGTGTCACAGAAAACCAGGCTCACCAAATGCTTGTTAAAAAAGTTCTATGGCCAATTTCCTAAATTTTGATATTTTGTTGTCATTTTTTGTTCTATTTTAGGTCTGCGTTAAGCAACAAACATTTTAAGAGGAATTGGAGTTTTTTAAAGTCAGTTCTCTCTCTTGTGCTTTCTCTCACTCTGTCTCCATCTCTCTCTGTCTCAGGTGAGAGACTGGGAGAAGGGCTGTCCTAGGTAAAGGCTGATGATGCAGTTTGAAACATCCCACTGCTGCTGTTCTTTTATAATTACATCATTTTACTAACTTCCTTTTTCCCTCCTTTCTTACAGGCAATGATATATAATAAGATCCTGAGGCTTTCTACATCCAACTTGTCCATGGGAGAGATGACACTGGGACAAATCAATAACTTGGTTGCCATAGAAACCAACCAATTAATGTGGTTCTTGTTCCTGTGCCCCAATCTGTGGGCAATGCCTGTTCAGGTAGTGCATCCAAGTAAGGGCCAGATTTCAGAGATCCTCCAGCCTGGCTGAGGAGAGTGCAGCTCTGGGACACTGCTACAAAATCCAGAGGGGATCTTGCACTTCCCACTAAGATTAGCAAGCAGAAAGATGCCCCAAGGGCTAGAAAGGTGTTTTTCCAAGGGCCAGTGAAGAGAGAGGGTTTTTTTAGCAGGATTTCCATGTTTGTGACATGAGGACCTGCGATCCTTTTCCTGCTCATATTTCTTCCACTGGTGACAGAAATCCATTGCTTTTATTTTGCCAGCTAGCAACAACCTGCTTTTATTTTGCCAGCTAGCATCCATTGCTTCTGCAGTGCCCACTTGTAACAGGGTTTTGTGGCAGGACCAACAGCAATTGAAGCCTGCTCTGCGACTGACATGAGCACTGACAATGCTCAGAGGAGCTCTCATCTAAGCAAACTGAATCACTGAACACATCTGCTTCTTAACAAGCCTGGGAAATAAATGGAGGCAGATCTGCAGGAAGGAAAGGTTGAGATTATTTAGCTTGAAAGAAATCTTCAAAAATGCCATTGCTTCTGCAGTGCCCACTTGTAACAGGGTTTTGTGGCAGGACCAACAGCAATTGAAGCCTGCTCTGCGACTGACATGAGCACTGACAATGCTCAGAGGAGCTCTCATCTAAGCAAACTGAATCACTGAACACATCTGCTTCTTAACAAGCCTGGGAAATAAATGGAGGCAGATCTGCAGGAAGGAAAGGTTGAGATTATTTAGCTTGAAAGAAATCTTCAAAAATGCCAATGACTTAACGAACTGAGACATGTTGATTTTCCATGAAGCTTAGACTACTGTTGCCTCTTAACAATTTTAGCTTAGGGTGTTTTTGGCATGGTCCTTACCTGTCAGTGATCCCATTGACATTAAAGAATTTTTAAAAGGGGTAGAACCAACTCTTATAGTAGATCTGTTTTGCTGAATTTCCTGAAACTGTATCAGTAATCTCTTTTATTAGTCAGTAATTACTACTGTTAAAGGGTTGGGTAGGGTTTAGAGTGTCATGAAATAGTTTATGACAAAAAGGCAAAAAAGGCTACATGGAAACGGAAATTAGAAATAATATATATGGCTTCATTTCACTGTTTCACATCCTCTGAAGTGGATGGAAGTGTTGCTATCAATACTTTGAAAATTATTTAAATGAACAGGTGATCTGATTACTGTGGCTACGTATGGTAATTTGCAGTACAGGAGCCTGAAAAGCTAAATATTGCTTTAAAGACGTTAAACATTGATTCTTACTTCTGATGTTGTATAATAAGAGGGGAGATTTAAAGACAGACTTCTTTAAGAGGTAAAAGTATGAGATATGCAACTAATTCTGTATGCTCTCTTATCACTGAGGACATCACTCTAGCACAAAGTGGAGCTTTTAATAGAAATATTTATATAGCAGAGCTTGAATTAACTTGGGAACCAGAATCACAGCAGTCACACCACGGCCACTCCCAGGTAACCTTCTGTGGGAAGTGTTCCCAAACCCTTTGGAGGGCTAAGGCAGCATTTTCCTCCAGAGCTGCATGGTATTGATGCCCAAGCTCAGTTTGTGTTAGTCCCAGCACATCTGCTTCGTGCTCCAGTGCCTGTCTGCCATGTCCCTCTGCCTGCAGTTGCACAGGGACAGTACAACACAGTGCAACTGTGATCTATGACAGCCCTAAGACCTCTGAATGCTTCCAGAGTGAGGTAAGGAGCTCCAGTGTAAACAGGACTTGAGGCCAGGAGCTCTGTAAAATGCCTCGGGGCAAGCACCATTATTTTAGTGCTCCTTTAGTTTTGTGGAAACCCAGTCTGGAATTAGAACTACCAGGCACTAACACAAACTATTTAGTTAATGTCAAAAAGAAAGGCTTCTGGGTTTATTTCCCACACTTTCCAAATGTGACCTCCTGGAGTAGGAGCTCAGCTGATTTCTATGAACCATTTAAGTGTTTATTAGAAGAGCAAACATTTTTCTCTTGGTGTCATTCTGGCATATTGAAATCTACTTTTTTTTTTTTTTTTTTTTTTTCCCTGTGTTGCTTTTCTCTTCACAGATAATAATGGGTGTGATCCTCCTGTATAACCTGCTGGGAGTGAGTGCCTTGGTTGGGGCTGCTGTCATCGTGCTCTTAGCTCCCATCCAGTACTTCATAGCCACCAAGCTGGCTGAGGCACAGAAAAGCACTCTTGTAAGTGAGTTATTTCAGTGACATTTGTGATCCAGAAATGAGAACAGGGTTTCTGGGTTCTGTTCTTCTAGTTAGTGAAATCCACTGTGTGCATTTGGGCAGGCCATCCCTCAGCTGCACTGTCCCTCCCTGTCTGTTTTTCTGTGTCTCAGGGTCTTTTCCTTCCTCACAATTTGTCAGAAGAGAATCTCAAAAAAGTATGTGGGCCTTGACCTTCCTTCTCTATAAATGGTATTTTTAATCCAACTAGCACAATTTTTCTGACTTCCACTCCATGAAAGGGTGTTATTCCCACATGCAGATGTTGTATTTCATGGGATGTCAGCAAACAGTGCAAATGACTGATAAATTATAGCAGGAAAGTATTAAAGAATGTGCACAACCTCCTTCTGCAAAGTCTAGAGACTTTTTACTCTCAGCCCAAGCTTCGGTATTTTCTAAAAATCAGTTGGCACTGCTGGATTATTATATATTCATATCTAATTTTTTCAGTGCTGTATTTTTCTGCCTCACTTAGTTCACCAATTAGAAATGTTTTCTGCTCCTTTGTCTAATTTTTAACTTTATTGCTGTGAACCTTGAACTTTTTAAATAAGCCTTTGATGTTTAAGTTGCCAAATATTTAGAGATCCCTTTTATCTTAATATTCAAGTAACCCAATTACTGATGCATGGGTCTAATTGCCAGCACACTTCAATCCTGTTGAGCTGTGCCACTTTTTATAACCAGTACAAATTGTGCAGAGGACTTTTCTTTGCATAATTTTGGAAATAATCTCAATCGTTCTTGTTGTTCTATTCTGACTTCCTCTGACTCATAATATCTTTTGGATTATGCTTTTACCAAAACTCATGATTTTACCAGAACTTAAAATTACTGTTTTCTGATTAGGGGAAATTAATTATCAATTAAATACATTGATAATTATCTCACTTATTTCCACAACTAGATCCCAGAATAATTATTGCATCAGCAAATACACCGATTTAGATTTCTGTCTATTGTTATGGACACCATTGACCTGCTAACCCACCTCCCTGAGTTTCACCCTCTCTTTGAAGGGTTGAGATGTTTTGAGTTATTTTTCATTGCAGAAAAGGGTCAATTAATTTTCCCCTAATGGTTGTAAATACTTTAGCACCAAAAAAAGGAAATTTTATATTCTTTTTCTCAGTATGACACCTGTACAAAATCACAAATGAATAAAATTATTTTAAAAATGAATTTAACAAGAGAAGTGAGGAGAAAAGAGGGTTGTCATTAAGACTAAAAATGGTTATCAATTTTTTCCCCCTGGTTTTCTCTTTAAATGAAGGACTATTCTACTGAGAGATTAAAGAAAACCAATGAGATACTCAAAGGCATTAAGCTATTAAAGCTGTATGCCTGGGAGCACATATTTTGTACAAGTGTAGAAGAAACCAGAATGAAAGAGCTCACCAGTCTCAAAACCTTTGCACTTCATACATCTCTTTCCAGTAAGTAACTGTGTTTTTAGTGCTTGGAAAAGTATCCTGTTTTTCATGTCAATATTCCTCCCAACTTCAACTAAAGAGAGATACAGCTGTGCCTGTGACACTTCTGTCTGTGTGTAACATCATTAAAATAAAAAAACATGATAAATACGTAACACAGAAATTCAAAAGGATATAATACATATTATTGGGGGTTTTTTTTGTTTGTTTTTGGTTTTTTTTTTTCAGTAAGTTTTCTGTTACCTTTATTGTGACATTACAGTTAGGAGTTGCTTTATAGTAAGGAGGCTCCAGATGATATTGGCAGCTCTGACTGCAGCAAAGATAAATTATGTTTTCTGTATATAAATTGTGTTTTCTGCAATGTTGAAGGGTTGAGTAATGTTTTAGTTGTGTTTCATATTAATTGTGCACATAATGATTTTAATCCTAGCTTAGTAGAGTAGATAAATGAGAGAATTCCATATCTTATTTGTTTGGTGTGTTTAAAATCTCTGACTATCAGGGAAGGAAGCTTCTTCCTGCAGACTAATTTTCCTTTAAGAGTTTTAATTACTTGAATTGGAAACAATGGGATTATTTTTGTGTCAAACGGGATTATTTAGTGTCAAACAGTTACTGTAATAGTGTTTTTTATTATTTCCTGTAATCTGATGCATATTTTATTTCTCTTTTCCAGTTTTTATGAATGCAGCCATACCAATAGCAGCTGTTCTTGCAGTAAGATATGGGGTTTTTTTAAAGTTTTCTTTATAAAAAAGGGAGAGGAAAGTGGGCGGAGGAGATGTAAAAAGGAAGCAAGGACACCATTGTTATTTTTCATAAAACCAGCAGATTAATTAAAGTGCCCCTGCTAACTGTAGGAGAGCATGACACTGGAAGTTTTCATTCCCAGAAGGTGGATTGGTAAAACCAAAGATAAAAATAATTATTTACTATGAGAAAGAAAAATCATTACATCATGAATTTTTTACAGAAAGGGAGAAAGATCATTGCAACTTGAAAGAAGACCTATTATGAAAAGCTCTTTTTGAAAGGGGTTTTGAGTGGTTTTTCTTTTTTCTTGTTCTTTAGCAGCAAAATTCATTCCTGTTTCAAAATGCATTACGAGGCATCATTAAAATTTTCAAGAAAGTATACTCTGCAGTTTAAAGAGGAATAAATTTTGCTTGTCCTCTAGCCAGGTTTAAGTCTCAGCCTCATGCACTAGAGGAACTGTGCCATGCTGGCCAGTAAGGAGCTTTCATAGACCAGATTTTGAGGTCAGAGTATGATGAGAGTGTGTACAAAAATTGGAACATTTATGACCAGAATTCTGCATCTGTGAAAAATAACTCCTAAGATTTGCTAGATTCTTAGTGGGTTTTTTTTCTGGGATGTGTGTTTCCTGTAAGTCCTCAAGTCAATTACAAAACTGTAATTAAATGCTAGATTTTACAATGAAAACTTTTTCACTCTTCAATGTGTAAACCTCTTCAAATCACTGGTAAGATTTTAAAATCTATTTTGCTTTAACAAAACACACCTTTCTCTTCAGTTTATCCTGATTCCCAGTGAACTTAGATAGTTATTAGCCTTAGGTGAGCAAAATATTTTGCTTGCTTTCTTTGTCCATCTTGTTCAAGAGTCCTTGTCCTGACATGCTCTTTCCCTGATGTGACAGACATTTGTGACTTATGCATACACCAATGACAAGCCACTGCAGCCTGCCCAGGCATTTGCATCCCTGTCACTGTTCCACATCCTGGTTACACCTCTGTTTCTGCTCTCCACTGTGGTTCGTTTTGCAGTAAAGGCCATCGTGAGGTAAGTGGTTCTTCTCCTTCCTCCACTCCTGAACACTCATGTTCAGCACCAGAAAAGGTTTCTACCTGCTCATGTGGAAGAGTGTTATGAGGTGAGACTCTGATGCTAAAGATGTGAGAGAAATCAGTGACCCTCACTGCATGGCACAGAGACAAAGAAACACAGCACAGCAAGGACAGGGAGCTGCTGGAGCCAGGTCACAGCAGGGACACCAAGGGGAGCAGAGGGATGGAGCAGCTCTGCTGGGAGGAAAGGCTGAGGGAATTGGGATTGTTCAGCCTGGAGAGGAGAAGGCTTTGGGGTAACCTCATTGTGGCCTTGCAGTGCCTAAAGGGAACCCACAGGAAAGATGGAGAGAGACTCTGGACAAGGGCCTGGAGTGACAGGACAAGGGGGAATGGCTTCACACTGACAGAGAGTGGGTTTAGATTGGATATGAGGAATAAATTGTTCCCTGTGATGGTGGTGAGGCCCTGGCACAGATTGCCCAGAGAAGCTTTGGCCGCCCTAGTCCTGGAAGTGTTCCAGAGTGGGTGGAACATGGCTTTGAGCAACCTGGGCTAGTGGAAAGTGTTCCCTGCACATGTCAGGGAGGTTAGAACGAGATGGTCTTTAAGATTCCTTCTAACCTAGGCCATTCTGTGATTCTATGATTCCTAATGTTTCATTCTTTTTACAATTTCACTAACTTTAGCAGTTGGGATTCAGAGCTGCACTGTCCTTCCTTGGGAGATGCTTCTCCTCTCACACTCTGGCCACCCACCACCGCTCTTCCCTAGCATGCTCTGGGCTCTTGTCAGCACTGAGCGGGTGAGAGAGCCTGGTGTGAAGCTCTCTCTCAGCTCCTTGTTGAAGCAAGGAAGAGTTAGGCTTAACTCTACCTTCACATAAAGCACATTGGGCTATAAGTGATAGTTTGATGATATCCTGCATCCTGTTCCAGGTATTTATTTCCATAAAACAGCCCAACATAGCAGCTTTCTTCATGCTGGGCTATAGGGCACTTAATCTTGAAGGAGCAGATTGGTAAAAGATTAATTTCAGGCTTTTGGGTGTTGTGTCTATGGCTTGTATGGACAGTCACAGCCATAGTGTGGTTATGCAGACCTACACACCTCCAAGATGTCCCAAGATGTGCAAAGTGACACCTGGCTGGCAGTAGAGTGTCAGATGCCAAGCACTAACAGGATGTCAAGACAGAACTAACCTTCCCACCCAGAAACATCGTTCCTTCGTGCCAAGGCTGAGGCACATTGGCAAGATATGACATTGCTGCTGTCACTGCCTGGTTTTGGTGGGTAATGGTAATACCAAACAGCAGTCAAGAGGACTTCAGGCTCCACAGCTGTCATTTGCCAGTGCCACACTGACTTTAAAAACAAACAAAAAAAATTTACAGAGTTTATTTTTATCAAAGCAGGAGCAGGGCCACATGAGATGTTTTCCCTAGATTTAAAATGATTTCTGAGTAGTGGAAAATCTCCAGGCTCCTCTATAAATCATCCAAGCCTCTACATCTCTGTACTATGTTTAGCATAGCCCTAATATCAAAATGGTGTATACATTTTCCTTAACACTGCTGGCCACCCCTCAGGGCACTATTTAAAGACCAGATTTGCCAAAACAAACTGCATCCTTTGTCAGACTCATTTCCTAACATCTTTCTCCCATGAACATCATATCCCCCAAGTGAAGGATGAAGAATGTGTGTTTGGCCACTCCATGGCTCTATCCGCATTCAAATACATACACGAGTATGTACTTATTATTTTTGTGATTAAGAGCTCATACTTTGATCAGAATCTCAATTTTCTGTTTAAGAGTAGTTCTAGTGCTACTAAAACTAATTTGTGTACCTCATTCAAATGCAAAATAAGGGTTGATGCCATTTTAGGTGCATGATCAAAACAAGGTCTTGTATCATGTACAAGGAAATAAAGTCTTGCTTAGCCCCTTATTAAGACTGAAATTCTGATATGGAAACATATCAGAATTTATGGGGCACATAAATTTTCTGTTCAAGAGAAGAGACAGGAACAGGCATGCTGGCAGGAGGAAATAGTGACAATAGCAGTGCTTTCTTGCTAACCTGTCTCTCTGTGGTTTGAAGGTGCATTGATAATTTAATACAAAGTACACAGACTGGTTTTGAAATGGACTGCTTTCCCATTTGCAGATTAATGTTTAAATCACTGATCTGAAGGCATATGTCCTTCTGCTTTCTCAGTCTCTGGCCCAATGCACCTTGATTTTAGTTTTTGCAAGGTAATAGCTTTACCATGACTGGTGTATGATTTTGTTCATCCCTTCCCTGGAATGATAAATACTCAGATGCTTATGGTGCTCTGAAAAGAAGGGGGACAGAAAGAGGATTAAATCTTCCTGTGATGAAGAATGAATTGAACTTGTGTGCTGTAGTTCCCAGTGGAGAATTTTAAGGGTAAACAAAGAGTTGCTGTGTGTCTCCAAGGCTGGCCATGGCTGTGCTGAGGTGTGCAGTACCCAGCCATGTGCGCATGCTGTGCATAGAACCACGGAATCCCAGAATATGCTGAGATGGAAGGGACACATCAGGATCATTGAGTCCAGCTCCTGACCCTGTACAGGACACCCCAGGAATCCCACCCTGTGCCTCAGAGCATTATTCAAATGCTCCCTGAACTCAGTCAGCTGTGACCAGTTTCCTGGGGAGCCTGGTCCAGTGCCTGACCACCCTCTGGGTGAAGAACTTTTTTCCAACCTAAACCTCCCTGACACAGCTTCGTGCTGTTTCCTTGAGTCCTGTCACTGGTCGCTGAGAACAGAGATCTGTAGTTGCCCCTTCACTTCCCCTCAGAAAGAAGCTGCAGAACTTTCCCCTTCTCTTCCCCTGGTGAGGAAGCTGCAGAACCACTGTGAGGTCTCTTCTCAGTCTCCTCTTCTCCAGGCTGAACAATCCAGGTGACCTCTACCGTTCCTCATATTGGTTTGCCCTCCAGTCCCTTCACCATCCTCATGACCTCCTTTGGACAGTCTCTAACAGTTTTAATATCTTTTTCTATATGATGCAAAAGCTGTGTCAGGATGCACTCAGTGTGGCAAGCACATTTCTTTCCCTCTCAGGATTTTTCATAGAGGTGCACAGAGAGAAATGAAAAAGAAAACCATTTCTACTTCTGCTCCTTGTTTTTCCCATGTGGAATGTGTTTGGAGAATTGTTTACCTGGAGTGAGTGCTTGGTTGGATTCAGGTGAGGATTGTTTGAGCCTGATGGGCAATCCAACCCACCTGTGGCTGGACTCTCGAGAGAAGATCACAAGTTGTGTTAGAGATGGAGTTAGAGAAAACAGTCTCTTCCTTTTTATATTGTATATTGATGTATTTTAGCATAGTTATAATAAAGAAATCATTCAGCCTTCTGAATTGAGTCAGACATCATCATTTGTTCTCATTGGGTTTGACTGCATTTACAATACACCCACTGCCCTGGCATTTCCAGAGGATGGAGGTGGGTGAATGACTTATTTCTGCACCCTGCCTGCAATGGCCTGAGAAAGGCACAGAAGAGATAAGCCTGCCAAGAGGGAAACCATTCCCACAGAGCTCCCTTGGCACCCCATGACTTGCTCTGCTCTTCATTCCCAGCTACCAGTACAATGCTTAACTATTTTCATCTGTCCTTCTTCCACATCCATAAATCTTCATTTGCCATCAGGGTGGCAGATGAAAGTATCCCATGAACTTCTTTTGGAACATTTCTGATAAATCCTGCTGGCGTGACTGCACAAAAAATGAAATGTATTTGTGGAAACCTGGGTTTATGTAACTCACTGTCCTCTGTTTTCTTTCAAGTGTACAGAAGCTGAATGAGTTTCTCCTGAGTGATGAGATTGGAGATGACAGCTGGAGAGGAGGAGACAGCTCTGTACCTTATGAATCCTGTAAGAAGCACACAGGACTTGTAAGTTCTGCTTTACGACACTAAATTTCAAAACAGAGAGGCTATATAGCCCCATACAAGGCCAGTGGCCAAACTGCCAGAGCCTAGGAGCTTTGATTACTATGCTGGCCCTAATATTGACCAGTTTTGCCTCTTTTATGTCTTAATCTTCATGGTTTTGTGACATTAAGGGTCTCCAAACACACTTAAGCATTGCTGAAGTGTCAATGGTAAAAAAAAAAAAAAAAAAAGGCAGCCTAAACCAACCATAATATGCCAACATATTTAAATATGACTAAAATTCAACCTTCTTCATTTTTATAGAAGGCCCAGGTGGATATCTTATGGTTATGGGGTTTGTACTGTATATTGCCTGTACAATTCATCTTATACTGGGCATCCTTAGGGGGGAACAATTCCTGCTTTGGGAAATTCAGAATTAAAGGTAGAAAAAAAACAACACCAAACTTTGTGAAATAGGAATTAATTCCGAAATGCTGTTTCTGGAGTACTAAACATAGAGTTAATTTCGGTAAAATTTGAAGACAAAAAGCCACAATGAAGATGATTTGGGGAAAGGTTTTTTTTTTATTTTGACATTTTTTTCTAAAGTTATATATTTCCACAGTTTAAACTGACTGTACAATTTGAAATGTGACTGAAACTTGAAGACAGAAACAGCAAGAAAGGATTAGCAGAAAATAAATTTTATTTTAGTTTGCTAACCTGAAACAACACCTTTCTTGTTTTTCTGGGCTAACAATGACAATAAAAGAAGCAAAAATTAGATTGTTTCAGTTTTTATTTTATTTGTCCTGTCCACCTTTTGATTAATCCTTCAGAGACTGTAGATGATGGGTAGAGGGTTTGAGAGGGATGGTAGAGATGAAATTTGGGATGGTTATATATGGGAAGCAAAAAACCCCAATATTTTCTGTGCTTCAGCTAAGGGTGTTTAAAACATTTAAAATGTGTGCATGACAGTGGTCTATATGTTTTATCTATGTTTTCAATATGCATTTTCACATATTGAAAAGCACTGGCTGCTTCTCCTGACCTGAAATGGTGGTAGGGAAGGGAATGGATTGTTTGCTTTACAGGGCACCAAATGCTGTCTTCTCATGAGGATTCCAACTTCTCTCCTGTTTTCACTTCTCTCTGTGTAGCACACCAAGGCCATCAACAGGAGGCAGCCCCTGAGGTATCAGCTGGAAAGCTACGAGCAGCCAGCAAGGAAGCAGACACGGCCCATGGAGATCGATGATGTGGCCATTAAGGTGGTTTGGAAAATGTTTTCCCTCATGAAAATAAAGGAGCAGATCCTCCTGCAACAGCACCTGATGATGCCCAGTTGCTGCTGTTATTTCAAATTTTCCATGGCACGAGCAAGCCCTTAAATAAGTTTGCACTTTAGCCAAATTTACTGTGAGAAGAGCAAGCTTCAGACCAGTTTTTACAGTTATTCCGTGTCTTCTCATGAAACAAAGAGGCATCATGAATCTGATGTCCAAATCTTTAGTCTCATATTTGACAGAATGAAAGTATTTGGTAAACATAGCTCAGCTCAAGATCATCCCTTTCTTGCCTTACATACATTATGTACATTTGTGTATTTATCTTTTGTTATTCACATTTTTAAAATTTTTTGGGGGTTTGGCAATATTTACCAACTTAGCTTGCTTTTTTCTCTGTTTGTACAACCATACCATGCTGTGTTCATTCATCAGATTTATTTTATAAATTTATTTTAAATCTAAGTTAATCATTCTAATTTTTCCCCTCTTATGTTTAAATATATGATTTGTGGTAATTGTTTTTTAGGTGACCAATGGATACTTTTCATGGGGAAGTGGTTTAGCTACACTGTCCAACATAAATATTAGAATCCCAACAGGTAGGATGAAAGCACACCTTAAGCATGAAATATATAATGTCAAATTGTTATTAATTCCTGAAAACTTCTTGATGTTTTGAAATGCTCAAAGGTACACATTTAGAATTTTTTAAGAAAAAAATAGATGTTAAAAGTGTATACAAGGTCATGAGCTGTATTATTCATATTAATATCATTAGATATATTATGTGGCTTTTATATCTCTATATAGTTTATATGGTCTTATAATTGCACAAACTAAGTCAGGAGTTAGAATAAACATGAAAAATGGTTGAAAAAATATCATTATTTTTAATAGAGAAATTGAAAAAGAAAAAGAAGAACTCTCACTCAAAGTTTGAGACTCATTCAAACCAAGGTTCCATCTAACTCAGTATGTTATTTTCAGCAACACTCATGTATTATACTTTTCCTGCTATTTATCCACATTGCAGTCTTCCAGTTCACACTGTTTTCATTCAGAAGATGGATTTTTTTCTCAAGAGATCCTTAATTATTTTGTTTCTTAATGAATTCCTCTTTATCAAACTGAGTTCCTGTAATTCCCTGCATACTCAATGTCTTTGGCTAGGGATTCCACAGGTTTACAAAATGCTGGCTTATTTTTGAATACTTGCATAGCAAGTGTGAAAAGTAGCAACTATTATTTTCTATTATTATTAATAATAACAACCATTTTATTTTTTTGTTGTTGTTGTTGTTTTTGATAATGCTGTAGCATTTATAACACCATCTGCTGGCATTTCATGTTATTTAATAGTCTTATGCTTTATTTTGATCTCATGTCACGGGCTTTGTTTTAAAGTAGAATATTATTTTAGGTTGCTGTCACGTGGTAATTTAGTGATCCCCAAGCCTGTATGATTTGTTTCCATGTAGCTTTGCTCCGAGGAGTTTACAGTCTGAGGCCATGGGTTCACAGGCTGGGTGAGCCACAGTTTGCCTCCTTTGGCTCCCAGCTGGAGAGAAGTTTAACTGGAAAATTTCCAGTACCTAAAGAGGGCCTACAAGAAAGATGGAGGGAGACTCTTGACAAGGGCATGGAGTGACAGGACAAGGGGGAATGGCTTCACGCTGACAGAGACCAGGTTTAGATTGGGTATGAGGAAAGAATTTGTTCCCTGTGAGGGTGGTGAGGTCCTGGCACAGGCTGCCCAGAGGAGCTGTGGTTTCCCCATCCCTGGAAGTATCCAAGGCCAGGTTGGACAAGGCTCTGAGCAAGCTGGGCTAGTGGAAGGTGTCCCTGCCCATGGCAGGGGGGTGGAATGAGGTGATCTGTAAGGTCCCTTCCAACACAAACATTCTGTGAGGCTATGAAATGGACTGCCTAGCACAATTAGTGAGTTCAATCGGTTTATGGGAAGATCTGAGAAGCACACTTGTCACTGCAGGGTAGGACTGGAGATAGGAAAGTGTCTGTGTGTGGGGGAAAGGAGAAGTACAGCAAAGCACAGAAGAGTAATGGATCTTCTTTCAGTTTGTTAGATTGGCCCAAATTCATTTCAGTTCATTAATTAGATTGGTCCAAATTTTCATGTAACTCCAAGCTGAATCATCACTCCCCACCATATATCATTTGACTCTAAATAATTTTCATAGAGTAACACAGTCCCATAAAACAAATGTTAACATAGGTGAGAGCAAAAGTCTCATTCCTTTAGAGATTAATGCTGAAATCCAATATTTCGGTAGATGAATACATGCAATATTGCCCATTTACGTAGTGGATGCTAAAGAAATTATTGAATCAGTTCAAGTGCTCTAGAGCTGAATCTAGCTGGGCCTTGTCAACTAGAGTATAACTGGTTTTTTGTTTGGTTTTTTTTTTTTTAAGTGTTTTGTTTTTTTTTACTCTTGTCATAGGTCAGATGACAATGATTGTGGGCCAAGTTGGCTGTGGCAAGTCTTCACTTCTCCTTGCTATACTGGGAGAGATGCAGACCCTGGAGGGAAAAGTTCACTGGAGCAAGTATGTTTATATAGCCATTAATTGCTGTGTTCATTTAAGGAGGAGGCTGAGATTTGCTGTGAGAAATGCAAACTTCATGCCTCAAAACTGTATGTTGAGTGATTGCCATCGCCCAGATCCTCTCTAGAATGCATCACCTGCAAACTCAGGAGGGATTTTTCACTGTTTTGTCATGTGCAGAGCAGCGTGCCCCAGGAAGGGAAAGAGGCTAGTCTGGTGATTAATATCTAATATATTGGCCTAGAAAATTACCTAGACAGAAAGCATAGGCTACTCCTTTTATCAAATAGGCCTCAGTACTCTCTATAATTGAAGGCAGCATTGTCATGTTGTTCCTGTACCCACTAGTGAAAGTGTGGATCTTCTCCAGCCCAGTGGGATCTATGGGGTGCCAACCTAAAGGAAAGGATGTATTTCCACCAAGAACTGCTGCTACTGCTGGCAGGAAAAAAAATAAATTACATGTGAGCAATGCTTTTCTCTTTCCCTGCTACTCACCCAAGCCTCACCTATGGAACAGTGTCACTCTTCACAGTAATACACTCAAAAAGCAGCAAACCTGAGCACACCAAACACCCTAAAAGTAAAGGCTGGGCAAAAGCTGTTTCTGAAAGGAGAACTGCCCATGAGGTCAGGCCTTGGATTCAGAACCAGTGAATGAGAACTTCCCACAGAAATGAAGTGGGGCAGTAAGTACTCTTCAAGCCTAGGCAGGGCAGAAACAGTGGAAGTGATGTGCTGTAACCCCAAGACTTATTCTTTGGTTTTAAAGATCAGTTCTGTTTCTTTAAAACTATCAAGCCAAACTCCTCTCATTTCTCGTTTTGCTGAGAAAAGAGGGAATTTTCTCACAGAGACCAATATTTTATTGCCCCATCCCTTGACTTGTAACTTCCATTGTCATATTTTTTTACAGCAATATTGTAAACTGGATGATTTTGCTTTTCCTGTGATAGTACCCATGGCATTTTTGCTCTCTAGCTATACTTCACTTTCTGCTATTCTAAACATATGATCTCACTGGAGTAGCAGGTACAGTTGAAGCCAAGGCTACACTAAATTTAGTTTAATTATATCTGAATTCAGGCTTTGAAGGAACAAGAATATGTGACCTACCACAGTTAATTTCTTTGAGACATGCAATGAAGGTTTTTATACCACAATCAGACATTGTTTTGCTTAGTAGTTAAAAAAAAAAAAAAAAGAAAAGGAACAAGTAGAATGTACCTTGGAATGATTCTCACAATAGTTTTGAAAGAAGTATTTGACAAAGACTCAGATTTTTCCTAGATAAAGATATGGAACCTTAGAAAGATGATAAAAATGATAAATCTTAGAAACACAATAGATACAGATTATGAAATAATTTGTTATTATGAATTGTGAAAAAAAAAGTTTAATATTGTTCAAGAGATAGAATCATGCTGTCAGTTGATTAGAAGTCTGTACATCACCACACCAACACCAAGAAACTTGGATTTTAGCAAACACCTCAGATATTTTTTCGTTGCACACTATAATTGTCATATAGCTGATGCAAACGTGGTTATATTTTGCTGGTAATTTCAGACTGCCTGGCAGACAGATGAATACAGAAGGAGACTTCAGGTATTTAACTAAGTGGCTCCTGTATTTTGCAAAACCATAATAAAGGTCCTATTTACTCTTTTAAGTCCCTTTCCACGTGATTCTCCATGCATGACTAACGCAGCAACTGATCCAGGGATGAAATGCAGGCTAGGTGAATTCCTTTACAAATTCAGCTGTAACAACACAGAAATTGTAAGCATGGATGAGATTGCAGCCTCAGTTGTATTGGGACAATCCTGCAGTTATTTCTTAATAATTTGTAGGCATCATGCAGAGACAGGTATTCCCCTCATGCACATCAAACAATCAAAACCATCTTCTCAGACTGCCAAGCCAAGAGGGGCGAAGTGGAAACTTTCACTTGCTATGTGTTTTTTTCTACATTGAAATGGATTTCTGCAGAGCTTGTTGTATACTAAGTGAAAAGTTCAGGAAACACAAGAACTGCTAAATAGATCCTCAAAAATAGCCTGTTTTGTCCTCAAGTATCCAGAATAATGTGACAAATATTAGGAAAAGTCAGTGCTCCCCTCAGAAAGATTGCTAAGTGCAATGCTCACCCAAAGATTACAACCACGGGCGCTCACAGAAAGCACTGCAGGGCATAATGAGCATTGGAGGGATAAAAAAATCATCCACATAAATGTCAGTGGCCAAAACCAGCAGAACTACCAGTTCTGGTTGCAGGGACAAGCCTAAATTCTTCTAAACTCATGTATGGAATTTGTATAGATGCTTGGTCCTCATCTTGCCTCAATTTCCTGCCTATATTAGCAGAGAAAATGGCTCATTCTGTGGTTACAGGGGTATCCCAGAGATTTTGTACACCTTTCTTCTCTTCCCTCACTACTTTGTAGGATGAGGGACTCAGGGCCTGCTCAGACATGCTTTAGTCTATTTTAAAACATTATGAGTTACTACAAAAGTGTCTAAATGTCAACAAGAGGTCTTTTTTACTTTTCCTTAAGACCTTAATTTCAATTGATTTCTTCTTTTTTCTTTGTTTGTTTTTTTTCATCTTATATATTCAGAATCCTATAAAAATTACTGATTAGTTTGGCCTTTCCTACCATTTCAGACTTGAACTTACCACACCCCATTATAGGCAATATGTATATTTTATAGTACAGCTAAAAATCAGTATAAATAGCCACATTTCAATAAAAAAGAGAAACTAGAGGAAATAAATGCTAATCCCCTCAGGCAAATAAAATACCCTTTTTAGAAATCTCAGGAGCTTCAATTTCAGCCCACTCTCATGCCCTGCAATCAGATCACTCTCTCAGATTCAGCAAGTATAAAACCAAATACTTAATCCCCTTGTTTGTGAAGGTCCCAGCTCGCTAAAGGTCTTCTCTGTGTTTATTCCTGGGATTATTGGTGAATATGGGTTCTCACAGAAATCTCATTCATAATTTGGAAGAATCAAAGTCTATTTGTCAAGCTAAGATGAGAATGAAATATCTAAACAAGGAAAAAGGGTTTAAGAAACAGAGCTCCTAAAATTAGACCATGCCCATTGAGAAACTCTGTTTGGTTATCAGAGCAAGCATTTTAAATCTGGCATGGAATTGCAAGGAGCCTTGCAAGGCTTGTGCCCAAGGTTCTTTTAACTTGTAGTTCAGAGGGTGCTCCCAAACTTACACCTGAAAGCATTTTCTCTTTATCACTGCAGTGCTCTCCTAATAAAAGTTTGGAGGTCTTGAATAGAGAAAATTTAGGATTTCTTCTTCTTGTTTGCCTTCACCTAATTCCCAACTCCTTTTCAATCTCTTCTTAGATTTCATCTTTTGCTTTATTGTATGTATTTTCCATTGTAGAGAAGCTTCTGCTGAATGAGAGACCAAGTTTTAGTGAGAGGCTGTCTGTTTTCAACCTCAGCATGTGGCTCTCTGACACTTCAGAGACTTATTCCCCTCTGATGCAGCACATTCTCTGGCAATTGGTGTATGAAGAAAATGCAGGCTATGCATTTTAGGAGGCCTGAATTATCCGAGTTTTCAGAGAGCTGATGTGCAGCACAGAAGACAACATATCTCAGTTCTGGCATTTTGGGAAGATGCTTAATCCATGAGTCTGGCATTACAAGGACTCTGCATGCTATTAGAATTTTTATGCCTTTTCTAAACTTGGATATGCTGCTAATGATTGCAGCTGCATTTACTGGTATCCTAGCAGTCAAGCAGTCATTTCTGTCTCAGCATTAAAGTGTTTTATCTGGGGTGTTCATAGGCCTGAGAGAAGAGGATTTGTTGGTTCATGGCTTTTTTTTAAAGTCAGGAAAATAATGTTTTAGCATGAGTTTTCTACCCCCTTCCAGTGCCCATTTCTATGTACCTGATATAATCTCTTTTAGGTTTTGCACTTTGCAGTGATGCATCACCATGCCTGGAATGAGCATCATTGCTGGTCCAAAACTGCTTTCCCTGCTATTCCAGGCTCTTGGCACTATTAAAAAGTCAATTACCAAACAGAGGGAGTTGCAAAATCATTCATGTCACTGCTAATATTTGCGTGCTTTTCAGAATGTATTTATTAAGAATATGATCCTTAAGAAGTGGAGGATGACAAGGAAAACCTACATGTTGTAGGGTTGTGCACAGCTTTATGCAGCCTTAGTGCTACAAAGAGATTCAAAACCTGTTCTGATCCTACAGTAGCTGCAAAACTCATCTTTACTCCCGGAGAAATTTGACATTAGTTACCAGCATCTGCAGGCCACTGGCAGAACTCTGTGGAGAAGTTAACTTATTGCTTGCCAGGCAATATTAATATTTTAATCTTTAATAGGTTTTGATGATACAATTTTCATTTTTAATACATTTTCTAACAACATAATTTGCCTTTTTAGCCACTATGCCTTGTAGATACAGAACTGTCACATTTCGTGAAGTGTTATGGTTTTGCTTAGACCTTGTTTGTTTTCCCTTCAAGAACATAAAAACCCAAACTTATGCTGAATTCTTAAAGTATGTAACTAACTCCAGGTTCACTGTGTGTAAAATTAGCACAAAATGTTATCCTTTATATTTCCTGCTTACTAAATGTCATTTACCATAACTTACAGTGTAAATGAAACTGAACCTTCTTTTGAAGCATCCAGAAGGTATTATTTCTTTTCTAGTGTATCATAAAACACTCATTAATTTCTTCAGAATTTCCCCTCATCTTTGTGCTCTTAAGCCATCTCCATGTTTCCTTACCATGTTGATAATTGTTTACTGTGGGATTAATTGATAGACTGTGCAAATCCAGTGGATCTCACACTTCTCCAGCCAGTGAACCACTACCTCTGTCTTTTGTCTGAAAGATGCTGAGCTCCCATCTGACTTCAGTAGGAGCCCAGTGTGCTCCTTGCCATGCAAGGCAGAATCTCTAGGTATGAGGCATCATTAGGTGTCTCTTCCCACATATTTTTTGGGTTTTCTGCCCAGCACTGGGTTCCTGGGATGGAATCGAGCAGGGCACAGAGGAAGCCAGCTCAGTTCCAGCTGAGGCCAAGCAGGGACTCCACCCTTGGCTCCAGGTTTAAAAGAAGGACAAGCTCCACTAAAAGTATGTTATAAATGACAGAGAGGTAGTGGCACACAGAGCTGCGGTTGGGAGCCACACCGTGGTTTGTTGCCCCATAATCTTGAGGACATATTTCATTTGAGTGCATATGAACAGCTAAAACTCCTGGAAGTTTTGGGATATTGCTGACAGCTTCTAACCAGCTGTTTCTCCTGCCTTAGCACCCCCTCTCTCAATAGTAAATCCTACATGCTTACAAATAAAGTTAAGTAAATATTTTGGCGGAAGCAATACTGTCAAAAGAGACTGAGAAAGAACCTCATTATGGCCTTCCAGAACCAGCATGGAGCCTAAAGAAAAGATGGAGAGAGACTCTTTACAAGGGTCTGGAGTGACAGGACAAGGAGAATGGCTTCACACTGACAGAGAGCAGGTTTAGATTGGATATTAGAAAAGAATTCTTTATTGTATGTGTAGTGAGGCCCTGGCACAAAGTGATCAGAAGCTGTGGCTGCCCCATCCCTGGAAATGTTCCAGGCCAGGTTGGATGGGGCTCTGAGCAGCCTGGGCTAGTGGAAGGTGTCCCTGTCCATGGCAGGGGTTGGAACAAGATGATCTTAAAGGTCCCTTCCAACCCAGGCCATTCCATGATTCTATAAGTGTTCATATCCATGAGCTGGTACCAGTTCACACCTCCTTCCTCACATCACCTTGGGCATCTCAGAAAAATTTTTGAAATTACATGACCATTTTTGCTGCTGTACCTTGACAAAACAGACAGAAGTAAAGAACATTTATGCCCCTATTGACAAATGTCATTTGTCATTTAGACACATTTAAAATATGTCTAATATATCCTTGGGAGGCTACCATGATTTCTTCCCAATCTGTATTAAACTGCCCTCTTTTCCAATATAATTGAGGATCTAATAAACTGAAAGGGGAAAAAGTATTCACTGAGAAAAAGGTATTTTATGTGTAGCTACATAAAATAATCTCACACTTCAGAAAGCAGCAGGTCAAGTGTGCCAATGCCATTTGAACAGTGCCTTTTCTATCTGTGTTTTCATGTTAGAGAAAATCATGCCAAATAACTACTTTGTGAGAATTTAATATTTGTAGTATCATTTATAATTTGCCTTTAGATTTGAATTGTAATTACTAGACTGAGGTAGGTACCAGCCTTTTGTAGTAGAATAGAATGCAATTTAGAGTGTAGATTTTGCCATCAGGGGAGAGAGTGGGTGCTGTTCTAACAAAAGCATTGAATTTAAAACTCTTCCCTTCTTTTTGTTTTGCTTATGTGTTTCCCTGTATTTTTCTGAATGCACATTCATGAAATTAACTTTTAAAAACCTGATTATCAGACATTTCATAGTGTGAGGGCTTTGTTTCTTACTAAAGCTCTGTGTCTGTCTGCAGTAGGAACAGGTACTCTGTGGCTTATGCAGCTCAGAAGCCATGGCTACTCAATGCTACCGTGGAGGAGAACATCATCTTTGGCAGTCCCTTTAATAAGCAGAGGTAAATATCCACCTTCTTGCAAAAACACCTGGCAGATCCTTTTAAAGAGGGTTTTTTGGCATCTTCTGGAGGAAGTTTGTAGATTCTGGAAAATATCAATCAGTTCAAGCTAAACCTGTGGTGGTTTAGCTGACCTGACTTTGTTCACCTCAGAGGAAGGTTTCTGGTTTAAGCCAGGATGCTCCTCTAAGCAGAGCATGTATCTAAGATGTTTGTGAGAAATCCCACAGTGGCAGTGGCTTTCCATGGAATACAGCTGAAGCCATATGTATCATTTCCAAGGTGAGATGAATCCCATCTCTGGAGACTGCTTATGTAATTTTATTTAGTTTAATGGAGCCCAAGGTTGCCAAAGGACTCTAGAAACAGGGATTCTAGGCATGTTTCCATTGAGTTTATGTGCTAATCCTGCTGTGATCAAGTTTCTGGAGCAGCCACTTTCCAAAACCAGCATTTATGAAGCTGGGGTGCCTCCAGGGAATGGCCTTAATTCTTTCTTTAGAAATACAGGAGAAGGAAGTGTGAAAGCTGAGGTGCACAACTTCTATTGTGCCTATCCTGCACCTGCTTCTTCCAGCCTTTTAAAAGGTTATTAACAAATGTGGAAAAAGTGACTGGACTTAAGGAAAACTAATTGCAGATATTTTCAAAGGCAGAACTCTCTCTGTTTTCAGTTACTGAAAATACACCCTGTTCCTCTCAGTCTGTGCTGTGTGACTCCATTCTGACTTAATAAACCTAACCATGACCAAATGCCTCGAAATCCTGAAAAGCACCAAAATTTCAGGCACCAGATTCTTCAGCCACTGCATCCATCAGCTTGTTTCCCTAGCTTCAAAGGGGCAAGACTGAATTTCATCACTCATATAGTCTGATCCCAGCTGCTCATCAGCAGATCACCTGCTACAGACCCAGAAATCTCACAAAAAAAAAAAAAAAAAAAAAAAAAAAAAAAAAAAAAAAAATCAAAATTTTGCAAGTGGTTTGCTGGTCCTGGTAAGATCAGAAGCACTGTAAGGATCTTTTGTCCTGTAACATCATTCCAAAGAAAATGAAGAGGCACTTAAAGGGGGAAGAATAAAAACTCAATTGAAAATGTCTTCAAACACTCTGCAGTCCAACAAAACACCTCCATGATAGGGAGGAATGTTCTCAATAATTTACGTAATTAAAAAGCAGTCTTGCCAATAAAGGCTTCTAATAAAGATGTAATTTTTTTACAATGCTTCATTTACAATGCTCTAGGATTATTTCTCCATAATCATTTTGCTCTACTTATTTTTACAATTATCCAGCCATGATAGAGCAATAAAACCTCCATGGTTTTATTGCTCCATGGTCCTGGAGGTTTTTGTGTTAGCAGAGTGAGTGGCTGGGTGAACAATTGCAATGACCACATTGTTTTTCCAGGTACAAGGCTGTTACAGATGCTTGCTCTCTGCAGCCTGATATTGATTTACTGCCATTTGGTGACCAGACAGAAATTGGAGAAAGGGTAAGTAATGTGAATGCTTTAATCTCTGCTTGGCCTTTGTATTAAGAAGATACTTCCTGATGTCACTCAGACACTTCTACTCTGTATTGGGCTGCCAGACTGGTAAATAATTGTCATTCACCAAGTGTTACTACCAAAAAAAGTTGAAATCTCTTCTGCTTCTTCAGCTATTTCTCAAATGGGATTTCTTGACCAAAGTCTCCCATATTTTGCTTGCAAAGTTTGATGCTGGTATTAGTTACATTTTCAATCTGAAAAGCCTACTGTGCTCAGAGCAGCTCTTCATAATTTACACTTACCCATGAATAATTACTTTTCTTCTGATGTTATATGAGGACTATGCTTGTTTATCAATAGAATTAGCAGTTTAATTACGTTTTTTATTTACTATAAACTCTATAATTTTTTTAAAAATCACATTTCCAAAACCCTGTCATAATGTTTATTCAAATATGACTATTTCTGATCCATTTGAATTATTAGGGGATTAATTTAAGTGGAGGCCAACGACAGAGAATCTGTGTAGCTCGAGCACTCTACCAGAACACCAACATTGTCTTCTTGGTAAGATTTTTCTTTTGCACATGAAGCATGCAAAGTTAGTAATAAAATATATTTAGTTTATATTTAGAAGAGCTGTGGGGACTTGCATTCAACTCCAAAACCAAGTTATAGAGAGACAGCATTAAAACATCCTGGGAGACTGATGAAAGTGGGAATTCCTGCACAGATTTAACTGGAAGTGTGGAACAGATTGTCTTAACTCCTCCTTGCTCTCAGTGGTGATCTACTGTCAGCACAGTCCCACAGAAATCAGCAGGATTTCTGATAAGGAGCCATAATGAACAGTCTGAGGGCTCAGCACTCCCCTGCAGAGTACTGTGGAGTTGGACATCCTTTCCTTTCTCTGATATTACTTTCAAGGCATATCAGGAATTTCAGGAGGTTCATGAAAGGACTGTTTGAGCCTCTTCAAAATTAAGGCGAGACTTCTTGAAGAAAAAATGTTTACATATTGATATCCTTATCTGAATGTTGCCTTATTTCCAGGCACACTCACTCACAGTGAAGATCAAGCACGTCTGTAGTTTAGTTTGGAGGAAATGAGAAGAGTTGCTAACTCTGCTTTAATATTCCTGTGCCAGTTTCATACCAAAATTGGGCACAAGTTTGGCTTTGGATCCTGGAATTGTCAAATTTGGATGGGAAATTTCAGTTCTGGTGTTCCTGCACTCTGTCAGTGAGGCACCAGCACTACACACAGCCAGACACAAGAAATGAATCTGAGTCCATTGCAGTGAACTGAAGAGCAGTGGAGTCCAGCTCACTGGAGCACAGCCCTCTGACTGGGTCCTAGTCACTAGAGAGAGATTAAACATCAGTAAAGACAGGTGTTCCTATTTTAAAAATACTATATGAGGAATAAACCTCACTTTTGTATCCTGTTCTAATATTTTTCAATTTGATGTGGTTGCAGGATGACCCATTCTCTGCACTGGACATTCACTTAAGTGATCACTTAATGCAGGAAGGGATTTTGAAGTTTTTGCAAGAGGACAAGAGGACTCTTGTTCTGGTGACACATAAATTACAATATCTGCCACATGCTGACTGGGTAAGAGAAAAGGTGTCAGGGGAAAATTTGCTAAGGACGAATGTACACCTGAAGTTAACACCATAACATTTAATGGGATTATTGCTTTTCTCTGCAATAGAGTCCCTCCTTAATTCCATATGCCATGTAGCTAACTGCCACATTAACTAACACAGTAGTGGACTAGCTATTTTATTTTTACATTATTTAAGTTGAGGTTTTTTTTGTTCATTCAAAGGCCTGAAGTATTTTGATTTAATTGCAACTGTCTATCCTTTCTTTTCAATACTTTTTACATGTGCAGGAAAGCATGACTTACACGAGTTTCAGTTTATGAGCTGTGCCAGAAAACTTAAGAAGTTATTAATAAAATATTGAATAAAATAAAGAAAGAAATTTGCATAATGGTAGTGTCACTAATGGTGAGACTTATATTGTAGGATCCAGGTCAGTGATTATGGTGTCTGTGTTGTTGAGTGCTGGGTGCTTTCTCCCCTAGATCATAGCAATGAAGGATGGAATGGTGCTTAGAGAAGGGACACTAAAGGATATCCAAAACAAGGATGTTGAGCTATATGAACACTGGAAAACTCTGATGAATCGCCAAGATCAAGAGCTGGAAAAGGTAAATGGGAGCATTTAGGCAAGGATGACTTTTCTGCAAAGAAATATTTGTCATTCAAATTCAAAAACACCCAAAGCATGTCTGAAGCAAGTTTTCAACTTGACTTTAGGGCAAAACCACATGACCTGTAAGGAGTTTTAGGGGCTGCAATAGATTGTCCAGGAAGTGTGTGGTATGTCCATTATGGATGGTTTGTAAGCACATCTTAGCCAAGAAACTCTTGGAAATATGGTGTACAACTGAACCTTTGGTGGGGCAAGGGTTGGACCCAGAAACTTCCTTTGTTGTCTCTTATCCTTTTATTCTGTTATTGCCATGAACATTTAGGATTCTCTAAAGACTATTTTTGAAGTTTTTATCATTCCAGAAGAGAGGGAATGAAAGAATGTCAGAGAGAGGGAAAGAAGTGGGCAAAGCTGAATTCCCTGAAATTTAAATTGAAAAATACTGTGTTTTTCCATTCTATGAGTTAAATGATCCATATAAAGTCTCTTTGAGATTACTGTAAGTACTACTACAATTGGTGAACAGCTAAGCTCTCAAATTAATAAATGATGTCTCAAATTAATAAAACCTAATATTAATTAATAACAACCTAATTATTTTAGGATATGGAAGCTGATCAGACAACTCTTGAGAGAAAAACCCTTAGAAGAGCCATGTACCCCAGAGAATCCAAGTCACAATTGGAAGATGAAGATGAAGGTTTGTTTTACAATTTCACTTTATTTAATACCATTTTTCATTACCTTTCCACTTTTATAGCTGGCAGTTCTTAGTAGCAAAGTGTGACACTGTTGGTGACACTTGGTAATAATAGTGGAAAGCCCAACATTTTGACCTGTTTACAATTGGACTTGTTTAAGGGATTCTCCATATGTTTCCCTAAACATCATGCACAGATAAGAGTGTATCAAAGCAAGTTAATGTCTTTGCTTACTCACAGTGCCTGGAATTACTGAGGGATGAGATAGAAGTACAACAACAGAAAAAATTGTAAAGAAAAAAAAATGAAGTGGCTGTCAAAAGCATGTCAACATTTCCCTTCCTCAAGTGCAGCCTGCAGGGCTATGAAATATATATTCTTATTATCTGGGATAAAAAAATTAAATTTCATATTTATACACCTCTGAAATATATCTTTTCCACCGTTTCCACCAAGTAGAAGTCTTCCACCGTTTGTGTTTCTACAGAATGTGATCAATTATCATTTGAGTACTCTTGTTTAAAGGAGAAAATTGAAATTTTCATGCAAACAGATGTTGAAGAGTCTGGATGGAAAGTTTGGGAGGTTTTCTAAAATCTTCCAAATTGCTCTGCTGACTGTATAATAAAAGCTGATGAACAGGTTGGGAAAGGCCTGGTGTCTGCTCTAAATAATAGGTAGTGAAGACTTGGTTTATAAAAACTTCTTCTTGACAAAATTGTGACAAGTCAAAATACAGAATTGCTTAAAGAGCACAGGGAAAGTCTTATGAGAATATGTCTGAAGCATTTTCTGTTCTTAAATGACAAATTGAATTTTGACTTTAAAATTTAAATTCAAAGCAGGATAGAAAAAAAAAAAACACCAACAAATGTGGTAAAACCAGGTATAGTTATTACTGAATCCATGCTAACTTGATCAAATGTCTGAATCACAGAGGAGGAAGAGGAAGAAGATGAAGATGATAACATGTCAACTGTCTTGAGGCTCAGGACGAAGATGCCATGGAAAACCTGTTGGAGATATCTAACCTCTGGAGGATTTTTCTTGCTCTTTCTGATGATTTTCTCCAAGCTGTTGAAACACTCAGTTATTGTGGCTATAGATTACTCGCTTGCTACATGGACATCCATGGACAATGCAAATGAAGCCAAGAATGCTGATGAGGATAAGAGCACAGAGAAGGTGAGCCAGATATTGGAGCCTGACAGGGAAAAAAAAATGAAAGAAAACATATTTAAAGTAATTTTTTGCTGTTCATCTAGAAGCCAGCTGGATTGAAATGACAGGTAGATTACTATACAGGACGAACAGATTCTTAATGTTTAAATAAGGCAATTCAAATTGTATCAATATTTTTGACCATTCAGAACTGAAACAGAGGAATATTTCAGGGTAGAAAAATATTTGACCTTTCAAACTAAGGAGCTTTACACTAAAGTTTTCCATCTGGATTTTACACCTGGTCTTCTAAGTCAATGACCCCACTTTCCTAAGTACTGGCTGTCAAGTAGTGTCCTGCCAGAAAAAAAAAAAAAAAAAATGGAAGTCTTCAATTGTTCTGCTTAAGTACAATCTGCTTATAGCTGTAAATTTGAGTCATATACAATATCTCATGGAATCCACTTACTAGACTTTCAGAAGGCTTAAATGTGCTATAACCCTGGCAGATCAGTTTAGGATTTGCTCTGTGAATTTCATAATGATTGAACTTGCTAAAGTGGAACTTTCCAACGCCTTAATTTTTGAGAAGTTCTACTCAGTTTCCCTGCATTTCTTGGTTAACAATATTTTTTTTTTTTGTCCACATAATCAGTGTTCACAGTTGTAAGAGCTACCATTTCAAGGTCTTGAGGGGTAGAATAGATTGAGGGCTCTTAGACCTGCCAAAACTTCTAATTATGTGGATTTAATGAATTGCAATTCCATCACTGCAGTTCCATCATATTTATTTTATTTCCCAAAGGTGGCATATAATTATGCAATACAAGATATATTAGTTGATGGGCACCAGGTACCTTGGGAACTTCCTAGCAGAAAAGAAAAATGGGTGTTTATTTCTAGGATTGATGTATTTGTCATTCCATTAGACTTATCATGTAGCTGTCTTCAGCATCCTCTCTGGAGCTGGGATTGTCCTTTGCCTCATCACATCCCTGACTGTGGAGTGGATGGGACTCACAGCAGCCAAGAACCTGCACCACAATCTCCTCAACAAGATCATCCTTGGACCAATCAGGTACAACAAAAACGATGTCCCTGAAAAGCTAAATGGTCAAAATCTGTCCTCTTTGTAGCTGCAAGGGTACTCCCAGGAAAAGCTCTTGAATTTGAGCTGTTTCCTTCAAGGCCTCAAAAAGGAAAAATGTTTAGTGAGATAAGCATGGGAGGAAAACATTCCATGAGGTAACATGTGAAATTTTGCCCGTGTTTTTTATCTGGCTGAAATGTTTCAGAAAGCTGGCACCCCTTCAGGGCTGGGGTTCAGGGACAGCTCTGAGGGCAGTTCAAGCTCCAGGGCACCCAGCTCCAGCTCTGAGCAATGGCCACAGTGTCAAACCATGTGGGCACACCAAGGCTTCTTCTGTGCACAATACCCAGAGCCTCACAGGCAGCAGAATGGCCAAAGGATGCCTGAATAACAAATTTATCACAGTGCTTACATGAAACATCTGGGGTTGGTGCCCATTAGAAGGAGGTTGGTGCCATTACTTGGTGCCCAGGAACGGGTTGTGATCTTTGGAAGGAACTTAAATCCTGATGGAGCAAGAAGGGAAGGTCAGGACACAAGACAGCAGGTTTTTGGAAGAGGAGACAATTTTTTTTTTCAGGGGAAAGTGCCAAAAGAAGCATTTAGACAGTCAGGATGCAGATAAGATGATCTGGTATGTTATTCATCTTTATTGCTTGGTTTAGACAATGGCTGTACACAGCTCTGTGTTCTGTCTGACTGGACTTTAAATCCAAAACTGCAATTCCTCTACAGGTTGCTTTTTGGTTTTAATTTGTCCAACAGGTTCTTCGACATGACTCCGCTGGGGCTAATTCTGAATCGCTTTTCTGCGGATACAAATATCATTGATCAGGTAGATGTATCAATATATTCTGGTTTATTATCCTGACTCTGCAAATTTTCATGTAGATCTGAATAAGATGATGTAATAAAATATTCAGTAGAGAAAGGCATAGCAAAACCAGCTCTGAGAATGATAATAGAAACACTCAAATTAAAAAGTGCACACATTTGTAATAATGAGGGCAGGTAACCTTCAAAATAAACATAGTGGGAGGTGGGGGCTCTTAATTGCTTCATATGCAGACTGTTTGATTCTGTTGGAAGACCTGGATGAAGAAAACAGCAGGTTTTGGGCTTGAAACTGGAAACACAGTAGAATATAACAACTTTGAATATATGGGAGTAGGTATGACAAATAAATGTTCCGCTGTGGCTGGCAGAACATGTGGATTTAGAGCATTCAGGGAGAGAAAGGGCTTTCACTATGGCTGTGCATTAAAATTTTTGCATGAACAATAATCCTGAATGTAAGGTTGATAGGAACATGGAATAAAAATTATGAGATTCTGAGACAGAGCATTCTACTTCTCTAAATACCTACCATATGTAGAAAAATTTTCTCTTCCTTACCTGATATATAAATGAGGTGAAAATGGCTCCTATTTCTCCATGATCTTTGAAACTCTGACCTTTAGAAAACAAAAACCTACTGACTCATTTTTTAACCCCTCTACATTTGGCTATGAGACCCACAGAAACAGAAAGACTCCTGATATTAGGAGACTATCAATGAGTACATAGTGGTATTATTTCACTTTTCTTGTAGGAAAAGGTGTATAGTGGTGCTACCAGGGATTTTTTTCTTCATGGATGTTTTTCATTTTCTTCTAGCACATCCCTCCCACCCTGGAGTCTCTGACCAGATCCACCTTGCTGTGCCTGTCAGCCATTGGAATGATCTCCTATGCCACTCCATGGTTCCTTGTGGCCCTCGTGCCCCTGGGCATAGCATTTTATTTCATCCAGAAATACTTCAGGGTTGCTTCCAAGTATGTATTAAAGAACTGCCCTGAAAGTTTCCTCCATGAAATACAGTGCATAAGAACTGTGGTGGAATGTGAGGTTGTAGGAGCTAAAAAAGAGGGAAATGGCCATGGCATCCTGCTTTTGAACCTGAGGCATAAATTTGAGACATGCACTGGGGAATATTTCCAACTCACCTGGCTATAAATGGGGTATTTGGAGAAGTAACAACTGAAATTACTGAAGTAACAGTTGAATGGATTTTTTTTTTTTTTTTGGCTCTAGAATAAAATGAACATGAAGTTTGTGAATCAGCTGAGCTTACAACTGGTCAAAACTCATCTTTGACATTTGAGGGTTCATAGAGAACAGAAAATAACTCCTTTGATTAACAGCTCTTCCTTCATACTGTGGAAAAAGCTCCACAGGAAGCAATTTCCACTATAGAGTATTCCATATTCAGGGTGATTTGGCTAGGTGTAAAGAGTACAGTTTTTTCAGCAAAAAGAGAGTCATGCTCCTGGTGCTAAATTTATCCTATAATTTCAGAAAACATCTTCAGTAAGCCATTTGAAGTTTTTTCTTAAATTCAATCCCTTAGTCTTTTGTTATCAGCCAGAATCTTCCAAGAAAATTTATTTAGAAGAAAACTCTGTAATCAGAATTCACAAACCAGAAATGTTTAAATCTGAAATAAGTTGCTTAACTTGTCTGAGATTTTTCAGAAACCTTGTTCTTGCCCCACCAGACCACCAAACTGAAGCTGTGTGTGGCAGTACACCAAATCTCAAGGTGACTGACAAATCAGGAGACCTAGTTTTCACTCTGAAATTATTCTGATAAATTAAACTCTTTTAAATCACTTGAAATGTGACTTGTATTCTTTTGATGGGCAATAGAAATTAAAACATCCAATTTATTTCCCTAAAAATTAGTCTTGGGAAATGTAGGATGAAGGAATAGCTTCAGACAGTATTTGTAGCTCACTTGCATGCAGTCCTTTGCAGGCATATATGCCTCACTAATTTTTAGAAATGCAAATATTTACAGTATTTCTTGCAGCACTTTGACTCTTTGTTGTATTTTCCATTACATGTTTCACAAACTTCTGTGTAATTTCCATCAAAAATTTGAAAGGTATTTATCATCAAAACATCAGCAACAAATTCAGTTCTGCCCACTGCAACATTGAGCAAAATCGAGCAGTTGTTTCTCCTAGCCTATCTAATACAGTGTGCAAAATTAGTAGGATTTTGATAACAAGTATGGCTCTCTAATGATCTGGACTTTTTCTGTTTGTACAACTGGCTGCTATGCCAGTGGCAGAGTGTTACAGAAAGATGTGATTTTCTGTGGTTTGGAAAATGTTCCTCTTTTAAAAGACTGGAACTTTTTGGACTTAAATATTGTTGTTCCATGCAGGTCTCAGAAGTGCCATTGCTGAGTAATTAGGGAAATTTATCACTCATATTATTTCTCTGTCAGTGCTGTCTCTGCTACAACCAATATTAAAAGCACGAAGAGAAGATCTGCTATCATCTGAAATATTTTACTTTCAGCATGTTGTACTACTTCCAGATATGGAAAATGAGGCGGGGTTTTGTGGAAATACAGTTTTATTGTTAGGCCAGCTGTTGTCATAAAATATATAAACTTCCTGATACACAGACCCTATTATATATCTGACCTAAGAGTCACAAATAACATGCTATAAAGTTTAAAATCAATGGGTTTGAATTTAATTTTATGTTATCAATATGTCAGAACCTGTGAGAATAAAAGGTAATGAGGATCTGTCTAAAATGGATAGCAGGTTTTTACCCAGGAGAGACATGATAATGTCATAATCCCCGGGGGGCAAATAGAAGCTTAAAGTGACCAAAAGTAGATGGAGAGGGCAGCAGGGAGATGATTCAAAGGCTCCTGTGGCAAAAAAAAAAAGGAATGTTTTTTTTTGTGTGATCCTGAAAATAATAGTGCAATATAAAAAAAGTCTTTTCTTGTCAGCTATGCAGCAAAATTTCTACAGACAGAAATGTTTATTGTAATGGGCATCTGTTGTTTTTTGTATTCCCAGGGACCTCCAGGAACTTGATGACAGCACCCAGCTCCCTCTGCTGTGTCACTTCTCTGAGACAGCTGAAGGCCTTACCACCATCAGAGCATTTGGGTAAAATTTGTAAAACAAATTATTAGAGGGAAGCTTGGGGGTCAAGCTGGCCTGTTCAGCTTCCTTGGAGCATGTCTGAGGGCAAATTGTTGAATGTGAAGAGCTTTATTAAGCTATTTTGAAAAAAGAGAATGGATGTTTTTTCCTGTTGCTTTGCCATGCGTCTTAAATATTTTGCATATTTTCAGTAACACATGTATTGGTGTTCCACTGTATTAAAGGTGATTACATTTTTTAGGAGGTGATACTTAAACTTTTAATGAGTCTATTTTAACAATGCCTTTAATGTGGACAGCAGGGAGCTCTGTTTTTCCAAGCAGGCAGGGTCACTGCCCCTTCAAACTCCCTGCTATATCCAAGTGTCCCTGAATCAGTTCCATGTTTAACCCACTTTCCAAGCAAGGAGACATCATGACACTCTCCAATTGAAAGGCAGTGTGCAACTTGAGAGACTTTCCAAGAAAAGTGCAGCAGAACAGAACTTGATTTTAATATTGTAAAACCTCCCTTTGTTAATCAAAACTGAAAAATCACTTCTGTAAGATTCAGAGAGTTTTGCCAGCTTTCTATGCATATATTTTCTCTCTACTACATGAAATAGAAGCCAAACTCTCCTATGTTCACTCCATTATGGTTATGACTCTGACAAAGTGCCAGCTTGAGGTTTCTTCCTAGTAAGTGCACCTTGCACCCATTCTGCACTATGAATAATTCCAAACCAGAGCAGATCCCACTGCAATGACATTTCCACACCTATTTGATCAGCTTATGGCTGTTTCCTCATGTCAAGCTAAGCTTTAGGACCTCAGCTATTAGCACAGAGTGTTGCAGTAAGGCCTGTGGAAGAACAAGCAAAAACACTGTTGTGTTGAAGAGGTGTGAGCTAGTGGCCAACAAGAAATGCTTTCACTAGCTTTATCAACAGAATGATGTATTGAAACAGGAAATCATCATTAGGGCCTGATGCTGATGTATGCTGAGTACTTCTCAAGAGGTTCAGAGTGGCCCTTCATCACCTGAGGAAGGTTATGAACCTGAGGTTAGTTCCTGAGGAGGATGAAGGAGCTTAGCACTTTCTGGGTGGTTCAACTTTTTTTTTGCCTCACAAAAAGGCAATGTGGTCTTGGATGGCAGGGAGCAAAAGGCAACCCGAGGGCACCACAGCAATTGAGTTTTTCAGGATTTCTGGTGCTAATCAAAGCCATTTCATTTCCCTGCCTGTGCTCCACTGCCCACCAAACCTGAAGTCTTCTGCATTTATTGTCTGCAAGTTTGTATTTACTGCTGGTCCTCTTAGTCATTCTCTGCAATTTGGGTTCAGTATGTTCCAGGATAAAACTGAGCAGCTCCTCACATAACTTACCGCAAAGCAGTACAATTGGATCAGAGAGCAATCTCAGTGACCTTTGCTGTTCCCCATCTGACAGGATAAAAGTCTGAAAGTGCCCAGAAGATGAGCTGAACGTGGATGAAAACACAGATTGAGCGTGTCAGATTTTCCATTAGGAGAGCAGGAGTTTTGCTGCCAGGAAAGCAGATGAGCAGAGTAGTCAGTGCATCCTTGTTCCTCCCCACATTATTACTATTACCAGTTGTTCTGGGAAGGTTGCTTGTCATGTTTACAAGCTGTGCAGAGGTAAATAAAATATCAGTGGGAAATAGCAGGGGGAAAAGGGAAGTTTCTAGAAGAACAGGCATTAGAGGTGCTTCACAGCAGGGCCCTGAGACTTTGAAATGAAAGGTAAAACAGACACTGAGCTGCTGACTGAAGTTCAGATGGTTTAATCAAGTGAGGGTATTCACCAGACAATAGAATATCATTTCCAGCAAAATGGTTTCCATCTGACTGTGCAAGGCACCATGAATTTAATACGCTTGCACCAATAGAGATTTCCCCTTCCCCTCCCAAATGTACATTGGGTCTTCAGCACTCTGGCATCCTTGCACTGGTTTTTAAATGTGATGGGCATTGTGTGGGGGAGAGAAGAACAAGTGGCAGTGGAGGTAATACCACTCATTTTTCTAATTTAGAGGTGATCTATAGCTCTCCCTGATTGTAGTTTCCCAGTTGTTTAGGTAAAGTGTGACTGGCTGAAAAAACAGCTGAGCTGAGTAGCTGAAAGGTTTGATTTCCAGATCACTCTACATCCATATTAGTTGAAACTTTAGGGATGTCACCCTTGTTGAGGAGCCCTGCAGCTGGCCAGGTAACTTCTGAATTCTGGTTTAAGCTGATGGGTGAGCTCTTTGCCCTTGCTAGGGGCCTGTGAGGAGTTGCTGAGGGACCACAGCAGCACTCAGCTGTGGGAGGAGTGGACTACAATCCACAGCTCTGGGAAACAAAACCGGTCCCAGCACCCTGGCATTGCAGTCCCTTTGAGGGGACAGTCTCTGTAAACTTTTGTCTAGTCCAACAAAATTGCTTGTCAAACAAATCCCTACTCCATGTGTCGCTCTGGCTATGGGCAGCTGTGGCAGCAGATGTGTGTTCTGAGGGAAGAGCTTTTAACCCAAACTTCAGCAAAAACAAAAGGACAGAAAGTTTCGAGCTGGGGGAAGAGAAGTCAGAGCAGAGTTAATGCTTCATCCTTTTGTGTGTGTGTGTAATGTGTTGTAATGTAACAACTTTGGTCTCGGCAGGCACGAAGCCAGATTTAAACAACGTATGCTGGAGCTGACTGACACGAACAACATTGCCTACTTATTTCTGTCAGCTGCCAACAGATGGCTGGAGGTCAGGACGGTACGTTCAGTTTTGTCCCAGCCATGGTTTTGAAACCTTGGAAGCAAACAGAGACTTTGCCTGATGCAGAGAAGATAATAACGAGCATTAATCTCGCGAGGAGATTATACACACGGTTCCTTAAAATAGATCAGGATTGTTATGTTAAACCCAGAGTGTTTTTTCAGCTTTCTTGGCCAGGAGTAAGAAAACACAAGTCTGCCTCATCTTCTGTTGTGTGCTGTCTAGCGTCTGAAGGGAGTGCAAGAACAAACATTTACATAACTTCAAACAAGACTTTCTCTACTACTGTGCAGCATCCACAGACCTGCCACAGCAGGAACTGCTTTCAAGGCAGAAAGGGGCTTTTCAGTGGCTTTGTGAACTGTGCCATCCTTCTGCCAGGGCTGTTTTAGGCACACTGATCTCCCAGGTCTTGAAATATCTCTTCAGCAGTAAGCTTGCAGGTCCATACTGTTTGTGGGTTTTTTTGTTTGATGTCATGAAAGATAGCAGAACTAGACTCCAGAAAAAAAATGACAGCAGGGCACGATGCAGCAACTGACAGTGACGTAGACTCCTGGGGTTTGTGAGGGTTCTCTGTGAGGGACTTTCCTGATCTGCGAGGCAAGAAGAGGCAAGCAAAGTAACCGATTCCCTTATTCATCTTAAACAGAAAGGGCAGTGAATAAACAGAGCAGTGGCCTGATTCTGCTGGACACAAATAGTAACAGGCATGATTAACCCTCACATCAAAGGCTGTATACTCACCTTCTTTACTTGCTTGAGCAGTGAAGTTATTCTTCATTTTTTATGATGGCAAAACTTTCCCTTGTGTTCGAAGCTTTCAGCTTCTTACAGCATCCAAAATAGCTGAAATTGCTTCCAAATCTAAGACAGATAAATAACAGTGCAACAGCCAATCCTGGAATAAGCCTGTTAATGTCTCACAGGCTTAGACTTGCTTACATGCAGAATGAATTTTGTCCAAGAATACACCTTGCCTCATCAGACATTAGAAATAATGTGGCCTTGCCAAAGAATAGTTCATCTAGCTCTGTCTCATGGTGCAGTAGTACTAAGGCCATCAAAAAGTTTGTGGGATTTAACAGCAGCTGTTAAGTCCTGTCCTAGCAGATGATGGAGGCTCAAGACCATTATTGCTTCCTAGGTGTAAGTCACAGAATCCCAGAATCACAGAATTATTTGCGTTGGGAGGGACCTTAAAGCCCATCCAGTTCTGACCTCTGCCATGGGCAGGGACACCTTCCACTAACCCAAGTTTCTCAGATCCCCATCCAGCCTGGCCTTCCAGAGGTGAGGCAGCCACAGCTTCTCTGGTCAGCCTGTGCCAGGGCCTCACCACCCTCATAAGGAAGGATTTCTTCCTCATGGCCAATCTAACTCCCCCATCTGCCAGTTTGAATCCACCCCCCACTAAAATTTCAGTCTGTATTCTGCTCATCCACACATTTTTTAGACAGATGAACTAGGCAGCCCTCATTTCAAATCTCAGAAGGAAATATTCCTGACACAGTATTATGAGACAGGATGAGACAAATGAATGGAAAATGTGATCCAAAGTAAATGCCGGCAGCAGTGGGATAGTGGGAATACCAACTATATTCCATTAATCAGCACCTTGACTCCATGAGATGACATGTAGTATATACTTCAAACCTGAGGTAAACATCAAGAAAATTGGTTCCAGCTCCTGCCAATAAAACATGTGCATGATCTGTATAAATTCAACCAAAATCCTTCCTGGACTTTGTGAAGTCAGTGATGCTTTCTTTTTTGAGGAGGCAGACCCATAGTTTGAGAAGACCTGAAGGAGAGTGGAGAGAGTGGAATTGATTTGTTTTAGTAGTGGGAATTAGCAGTGTCCCTGTTACATACCTCTCATGATTTTTTTAATATGCTTATTAGGTTTTTTGATCCCTGCTTTTTTTGGGGTAGATACCATGGATGCCCTGGCCCAAATGAATTTGCAGCAATTATTGGCCTGTTTCATTAGTGTTCATCAAGTTGCTTTGAGTATTTCAGCTTGGGTATCACAACCATGACCTCTTCCAGGGAAAAAAAACAAACCAAAATGAAGGGCTAGGTGTCATTATATAAATAATTCTTGGTAAAGTGGAACTGCTCCACAGGTAAAGAAATGTCTTGCTTGCTGCATGTTTTTTCTTTTTTGTCACCCTGTCTCTCATTGCAGGATTATCTGGGTGCTTGTATTGTCCTGACTGCTGCTGTCACTTCCATCACCGAAGGGCCACACTCGGGGTTTGTGGGGCTGGGTCTCCTGTATGCTCTGACGGTACGTGCCAAGGCCAAGTGTAAGAACTTCCAGACCAACATGTTAATTTTATAATATTTTTATGTGTACACTGTCATCTCCCAGATTTCTTAATCTTGAAAAAAAAATGAATCCTGCAAATAATGGACTCGAGCCAAAGCTGAGAGAGTTCAGGGCAACTTGGACTTGCTTCAGGTTTTATGAGCCAATTAAAAAAACACAACCATTCCCAGGCCCTGCGTGCTCCCAAGTGGAGCAGGAAAATTAAAAATGCGTAAGAGGATCTGCTGTGCACTCTGTTTTGTACAACACAGTGCTGTTTCCACCTCTAAATGGCAAAACCTGCCAGGAAATACAGATTGTCATCATCTGGGTAATCTTTAACCAAAGGCCAAATAAAATAATTGCTGAAGAAACAGAATTACTGCTTTTGCCCTTGGAGGGACATTACTGAGATGCCCTAGATCATCCATGCAATTATTAATGGATTTGGGGACTGGGACCTTTATGGGCATGGTTCATCATGCCAGGTAGCAGTAGGAATGCAGAGGAGATGGGTTTAGGGATGACAAGCTTGTGGTGGTGCAGTAGCTGGTTCATTCTGCCACTGTCATTAGCAGGGAGAAGAAGGAACAGTATTTCAGCGTGCCTGGCTGCAAGAGAGGCTGAGTGTTCTTCACGAGCACAGAGTGAATGACAATCACCACAGAGAGTAGAAGTATTCATGAATTACGAGAATGGGGACAAAATATTACTGAATGAACCACGAGAGTGGGGACAAAGGCAGGATGATGATAGTGGCAGGAAGAACTTTTGAAACCATGGCAAAAATCTGTCTGCTTTGAAGCACTGGTATGAGGAAAGGATAAAAGGTGTGGGTCTAACCCTGAGATCTGGCTTTGCACATAAATGCTGGTGAGCCTATGGCTACAGCAGAAAGTGCTCCGCAGCTGCCTTAGGGAGACCTTAGATCCCCTCTGTGCAGCTGTTCCAGCAGTGTGAGAATCTTTCAACAACTGAGAATCAGTCCCAGGGCTTCAGCTTCACTCTGAAAACATTCCTGGTAATGCTGCTTCATTAGCAGAGATCTGGAAGCGTCAGGATGTTTGCATCATCCTTGTTTTTAGCCTGTGTTTGCAAACAGTTCATTGGTGGGAAATAGGCATGTGCTGAAGTCTGGCACAACAGGTGAAGAAGAGCTTTAGTCACCAAGTGATCACCTGTCTCTCTCCTGCCCCACAATAACCCTGAAGAACTTTTGAAGGCAGCTGGATCATTACCTGTCTCTCCTGGCATAGTTTTGTTTTTTTTTAATAATTACTCTTTGCAGCTGAGAGAGGGCCAATATTTGGACCTAGATGATAACAAACTATTTGTACTGAGATTGTGTTTACAGTGGACATCCTGAGCTTATTCTTCCCTCTTCTATAAACACTGCCAACTCCTTTGCACAACTGTGATGAAGCCTGAGGTAATGGGCAGAGTTTTTGGGTGCCAGGCTGTGTTATCAAATCTGCCAGATCTAGGATAGCAGCCTGCCACTGCAAGCAGCAGTTCTGCACTGTGTTGTTTGTCTGCAAACTTCCCAATTTCTGTAACTTTCTAACTCAAAAGCTGGACATCAAATAAGCAGGTATCTGAACATGAAGGAAAGAATACCCCATCAAGAGCTCTATCTTAAGGATAAAGCATACAGTCAAGTCCTCTAAATTAACAACAGTTTTTGCTGAATCTCAGTGAAAATTATTTTCTGTTTGCTTCCTGCATCAGTATTAGGTTAGTGGTAAAGAAGTGAGACTGGCTGGTTTATTCTTAATAATGTCCTTAATTGGCACTCACCAGAAAAAATGACAAAGCCTTTCTCTGAATATGTTTGTGCATAGGGTGTTTTTATTTTTAGGTTTATAAAACTTCATTCAGGTACATAAAATATCTCAAGTTGTAAAGGTTCTTGGCAATCAACTCATCCTAATAATACCAGTTCTTCTTTTTTACAGAAACACCTAAATACAGACTTAGGAAATAGATTTACAATTTTCAGCCTTAAATAGTAAGTCCTGCCTAGAAAAGCGTTTTTCTAAGCTACTGAGTATTGTCAGAGAACTAATAATCAACGATTATCTACTAAAAGTAATGCCTTTACTATTGATTTAATTATTGATCAAATCCTTTTCATTACAATTGAGAATAAAAACCAGGAAGGAAATATTGCTGAACTGATAACACTTTTTTTCCCCTCATATATTTCTATGCTAAAAACTTCTCAAATTTTCCACAGAGCGAAAGGGATTATCTAAATATGCAGAAATGAAACTATCATAAAATATTTTCAATATATTTGCAAATAGTGAACTTTCTTAATCTTTAGTTGCAGACTTTGAAATATTAGAATATGCATAATAGAAAACATTTCCAAACAGTACTTTCAATTTTGATTGTTATCTGTGTTTGTGTGCTTAAAGAAGACACCTTTCAGTACTGATTATTAGATGCTGAAAACAAGATAATACCTCAATCAGTCAGAGTTTAGGTACAACTTTTCCATACTTCTCCTTAAAAAAACAAGGATGAGAATACCAAGCACCAAACTGCTGTCTTAGGGTTGTGTTGGAGTATGACTGGCTTCTTATGGATTTGTTGCTGTTGCACTGAGTCTTGAACTGCTGTAATATTAAAGAGACACACTGTGTTGTGTCAGGCCAAGGATTTTCACAAATGTAATCAACCTTTATTTCCAAATGGGTAGATGAACAGAAAGAAGGCTGAACCCTGTCCTTGTTTTCATTTTGTGATGCAGATAACCAACTACCTGAACTGGGTAGTGAGGAATCTGGCTGATCTAGAAGTGCAGATGGGTGCAGTGAAAAAAGTACACAGCTTCCTGAACATGGAGTCAGAGAACTACGAAGGCTACCTGGGTATTGCTCTTAATCTTTCTGGGGCTTTCCATGGTAATGTGAAAGAATGGCAGACTTGGTCATGCAAAATGTACACACCTCTCTGGCCAAAATCTCTTCTCACTGAGGTGTAGGAGCTGCCACTGGTGTGAGTGACAAGGATAGCTAAGAGAAGCTATGAAAATATGTTGTTCACATTAGTCAACATGAAAAAAAAATCCTATCAAATGCCAGGGAGACAGAGCAGGACTCTGTAGTGCAATCAAAAATACCAGTTGTAGACAAGATGAGTAAAACATCCATGTAAGTTATTTAGAAAACAAAAATAAGGATAAAAATTAGAAATGTCGCATGGTTCAAAATCTCTGATCTTTCTAGCAGATGGGGACTAAAGATAGGGCCACGTTGGCAAGCAGACCTCAGCAACACTTCTCTGAGCTGCACATTGGAATTCGTGCTCCACACACTTCAAATTGGCCTTGATTGCTATTTGAGAAGTGGTTGAAGTGCAAGAAATGGCTCATAGGTCAAGAAGCTTCCCTGGAAAGCCAAGTTCCTCAGTCCAGAGACAAAACCTGCTGTGTATTCACAAATCAGGATGAAACAAGAGCTGTGATAATGTCAACAGCTCACGCTGTGTGGCAGTAACAACTTCCTTCCTCCAGCTTCCCTTCCTGTGCCGGTCGCTGACCCGAGGCCACGCTAACCCTGCCCTGACACCGCATTCTCCGCTCCTCTGGCTTCTCCCTCTTGCAGTGCCAAGAGACACTTTAGTATCTGCCCTCTCTCCCTGCGTGTGGAGATCTGGAAGCCAAGTGCCTGCCAGGCAGTTCCCAGCTCAGCCTCCCCTCGGCAGGGAACTGGAGCTCTATTTCTCAAGTGGCTTAAAGGAAGGTGCCCAGGCAGGAGAGAGGGGGAAAGGTGACTGTTGTAAAGTGATCCTCTAGCAGCACTCATTTCAGTTTGTTTTTCTCTAACTATTTCAGATCCCTCTCAAGTCCCCAAAGACTGGCCCCAGGAGGGGGAAATCAAGATTGAAAATTTGTGTGTTCGCTACGAAAACAACCTGAAGCCTGTTCTCAAGCATGTGAAGGCCTATATCAAGCCAGGACAAAAGGTACAATGTCCAGCAATTGCTCATCATCCTCATTCTGGTGCAGATCCTTATTTACAGAGCTTTCCTTTCTAAAGTGGCAGAAGAACAAGATTAACAACTTATATTAGCAGATATATACATTTACAGTCCTCTCTGAGGTCCCTGGGCACAGATCAAGAACTTACACTGATAGAAGCTTATTCTTGGCTGGGATCAATTTTTCTTCTGAGTATCCCATATCTTTCCAAGTCCATTTTCCTTGCATAAAAGTAAGTCTAAATAGCAGATAAATTAGAAGGGCATAAGACTGAACTGTGTTAAAACACAAGAGTATCTCACATTTCAGCATGGAGTGTCATTGGCATCTATGTCAAAATGCTGAAATGCTTGCGGGACAAGTCCTTGTGATGAGGAGCAGAAAAGGGGAATGTGCTCACTGTCCTGTTTTGTGTTTTCCCTGCCATTGGGAAGAACCTTTCAACTCACCAGTAGCACAATCCAGTGCAGCTTTCCCAAAAGGGCTGCAGGTGTAAGTAAGGAGCAAGTGAGTAAGTGAGTGAGTATTCTGTGAGTAAGTGACATCCTCCATCTTTTTCAGGTTGGGATCTGTGGTCGGACTGGCAGCGGCAAGTCCTCCCTGTCCTTGGCATTCTTCAGAATGGTGGATATTTTTGATGGTCAGTTTCCCCTGGAAAATGTTGTCACTCCTCAACTACTCTCCCCTTATTTCCTCAGAAGAAGGGAGGAGCATTTTTGATAGTTTATAACCTGGTTCTCTGGCTCAGAAGAGATTTGATTAGAAGCGTTATGCTTAATCCTTCAAAGTACAAAGTGCCCTATTGTGGATAGCACTTGGTTCTCCCAGGAAATTTTGTGCACAGATTATATCTCTATTTTTTTTTTTTTTAATTTGCATGTGGTCTGACAAAACAATATGCAATTTTTGAGACAGGACAAAAAATATGTAAGTCTCTGGAGTGTCTAAATGTTTGCCTAAAGAATAACTGCCTTAACTTATTATAGCTGTCAAAATATTAGCAGAGTATAAACTAGAACTCAACAAGTCCACTCCCTTGATTTTTTTTTTTTATTTTATTGTGCTTTCCCACAACTGCAGAAGAATCTGACTCAAGGGTTGGAAATATGTTGCTATGTTTTCATCCTGCAGCATTTAACTGTCCCAGCTAATTGGCACGAACTACTTTTCAGCATTTATAACACAGATACATGTGTGCTGTTGAGGGACTATAGAAAACCACCAGAAAGTCATCTTTTTTTTCTAAGATTTCCACATTTCTAGTTTAGCCATTGTGCATGGAATGTTTGCCAGGGAAAGCCTGGTAGGATGGGGAGGATAAGTGAATCTGATGCGGCTAATAGTTGCTTTTGTAGTGGTTCTGTGCCTATATGTGTCTATGGTCACAGGCTTCTGACTCATGACCATGATTCCTAGATATATAAATATTGCAAAGAAATAATAACCATGCTTATGGCCAGCTTGAGGTTGCCTTCTACTTCAATCTTCTTTCTGTATATTTTCTTTGTCTGCTTCTCCTGTATCCCTGATTTTTCCCAGTGGGAACATCAAAGCCTTTTCTAATCAAGCTCTATTTATCCTTTGTGCACATCCCTGCCCCTGCTGGACCCATATTTATCTTCCATGCTGGTCCACTTCTGGTTGGCGTCCTCACTCTAATGAAAGTTACATAATAAGATTTCGAGTCACTTTACTAGAGCCAAAATTTCATTCACGTTGATCCTTAGGTCCTTGTTATCTCCTTAAATTTCTGTCTGTCCCATTTTATTTCCCTACTTTTACTTTGTTCTTTAGAGTTTTCCTTCTCTTGCCCTATGTTCAAACAGTCTCTCATTTATCTTATGTCTTGCTTGACAAGCCCTCAATCCTTTCCCAGTTTCCCAACTCATCTCAAATTTACTTTTTCCCTTAGCTCCTCTCATCTCCTCTTTTCCTTGAGCGCCCTGGCTTCTATCAAATATGCATTTCCCTATTCCCCAGGAATGCCATATTTATTTTCCCCTCCTTATTCTACCTTATCTTCTGCTAACCCACTCTAATGTCCTTGTTTGTGAAGAAAAGGAATTGCTTAAGTTTATGCAACCACCAGTGTCTCAAGCAGAAGTCCTCTAACCTGATTAGGATTTTTTTGAAGTGTGAAAATAATTGGACTTTGTACCTTACAGAGAAAATCTTGATTCTTCCGGCCATATAGTAAGAGCATAAAACTACAATCATAGAAGTAGTCCACCTAGAGGGGGCAATGAAATCTTCCACTGGAGCAGGGTCACAGAGAACAACCTACAAAATTCAGTATCATGACAATGGGAATGACAGAAGGGGCACACGTACAAAGCTCTGAATATCCATGCACCTGCCAGTTCACATTTAAGTTCTCACTGTTGGGAGAGAGAACTGATTAAATCAATGTTAGGAGGAGTGCAGCTGCCCAGAGAAGCAATCCACATGAAAACTGCAGAAGTGCCTGATGGAAATAACCTTTACCATATTCTCATTCAGTTTGCCTTGGCCCATCCCTTTCCCATCTCCTTCAACCCCCCATATTCATGCATATATTGTGCAAAAGAAATTGTGCTCCTTCTCAAAGGAAATATCTTCAGCAGTTGTTGAATTTAAGGGGAACAAAGAAAGGCACAGCAACATAAGTTGCTCTTGTTCTTGCTCTGTTCGGCTGTAATTGACCCATAATAAATTATGCTTCTGGTGCTATCATTACACAGAAGGAAAGACATGTAATTTCCCTTAAGGGGGGGGGGGGGGGGGGAGGGAAGAAAAAGCAAAATAGCAAGGTGGCAGTGTCACTAGTAAATTGAGACATCCCTGGCTTGTGTTATTAGCTATATTCACCTTCCCCATGTTTCTGACAGTGCTGAGAGCTCACAGAGACAGTATCCCATCATCTAGAGAGCAGCCCAGAGGGGCTGTTCCACCTTTCCACCTGCTACCTGTGGATCACGTGCTTTGTGCAATTCCCTCAGGTGTTCTGTGTGTTGTTTGACACAGGGAGGATAGTGATTGATGGGATAGACATCAGCAAACTGCCTCTGCACACGCTCCGGTCCCGGCTCTCCATCATTCTGCAGGACCCAATCCTGTTCAGTGGCTCCATCCGGTAGGTGTATGCCATAGGGGGTGGCAGGCAGCATGGCACAGCCTGCCTGGCATGGGAGCTGGGGGACAGGAGGGGATGGAAAGGCAAGGAACCTTCCTAGCTCAGTCCAGTCCATCTGCCCAGTGACACACAATGCCAAGCTGTTCATTTGCAGAAAACCTGAAAGTAATTGCACTATGACTCCTGCTATGGTTTTCTTTGCAGCTTTAATTTGGATCCTGAATGCAAGTGCACCGATGACAGACTCTGGGAAGCTCTGGAGATTGCTCAGTTGAAGAACATGGTCAAGTCATTGCCAGGAGGCCTTGGTATGTCTGAACCAATTTCTGGATCATGGGCCAGTAATGGAGTCATGTATGCACACAGATAAACAGATCCATCCCATCTGACACTCCAGATCATTATGTGGGAGTGACAGGCACATAACGAAGATTCTCTTTCCTAGTAGAGAGAATATTCTTAATGAAAAACTGAGGAATAGTCTGATTTCCCATGCACTATGGAAAAATCCTGCAACACCTCAGCATCATGATGTGGTTGTTGAGGCTGTCCTGTGCAGGTCCAGGAGTTGGATTTTGGTGGTCCTGTGGACTCCTTCCAATTCAGGATATTCTATGATTCTGTGATCACAGTGGGAGAATTAGTAAGGAGAAAAAAAGAGCAATTTTACCTCCTTTAGCAGAACCTGTCTCTGCAAGCAGAGCTGTAAACACTGGCAGAGCATTTTTCTTACTGTTTCAGATCCTTTTCATGAAGGAAACTCACACATTTATTTCCATATCAAGTACATTTCATATTACTAAGATATTATCCTGCAGCCTACCAGATTTTCTAACAATTTGTGCCAACTGTTTGTTCAGTGACATATTTCTCCTTTCCCAAGAGGCTGTGCTCATTTTTCTTGGTATCCCTCCATCTCACTGGTCAGTCAAGATTATGGCTATTGGCTCTTATGGGGATTTTGCTTGGCCCTGGAACAGTGCACAAGCAGATCTCTCAGGGGTAGCATTTCAGGGGTGCAATGTTCACAGGAACTGGCTTTGTTACAGATGCCATGGTCACAGAAGGAGGGGAAAACTTCAGTGTGGGGCAAAGGCAGCTCTTCTGTCTGGCTCGAGCCTTTGTCCGTAAGAGCAGCATCCTCATCATGGATGAAGCCACAGCATCTATTGACATGGCCACAGTGAGTACAGCAATTAACATATTAGTGATCTACCAGGAGAAAGGCATCTTCCCTAAGCATCAGCCATGAAGTGTGTGATCTCTGTAGCAGAAAAAGCAGGCAGTGTTTTTATTTCTCTCAGGATAAAATGCTTGAGAGAACCTCTGCTTTCATATAAGTTCTTGATCTGTGTGTGACATTTCCCTGCTGGGAAAGAGATAGTGTGGAATATGCTTGAAAACATGTGACTTAGAATGTAACAGGATGAAGTAACTGGAGTGAGCCTTTTCCTCTGACAGGAAAACATCTTGCAGAAGGTTGTGATGACTGCCTTCGCCGACCGCACTGTTGTAACAATAGCGGTAAGTATTAAGCCAGGAAAAGCTCTTTGTTTCCTCATTCCTCAGGTAGTTAATCTTGCCCTTTACCAGTTAAACCCCACTACATAAAACTAAAAGCATCACAAAATAGAACTAAACCACAAGGCCAGAATATTTTCATTATACCAGAACAAGTCAGACGCCTACCAACCTGAAATTTTGCAGTAAATGCTGTCTTGCTATCAAACTAAAACACTTGAATCTGAACAAAGACTTTACAGGGAACTTCAGCATCTGCACTGTCTCAACAAAATTTTGAAGCCATTCTCACTGAAAAATTGAAACCAAAGGCATGGTTTGCACCATTATTGAAAGTTGCATCCAAATCTAAGTTTGAATTTTGCTTCTGAAGGCTATGTATGTGTAGTGCCTACAAATGCAGCACAAATTTGAGTTGAGATTTCATAATGTTCTTGATGTGGTTTCTCAAGCTGGGTTATCTTTTCTCTCTTTTGGAATAAAAAGCTGGGTTTACAAAAAAAGTTTTAAAAACTGGAATTGATGCCTAAAGAGGCTACCAGAGGCTTGACATTGTTAAAGAATAAGATAGATATTTATTAAAAAGGTCTTCAAAAGATACACCTTGGGCAATACAAGGGCCCGGCCATGGCTCCACCCAAGATGGACGATGGGTCAGACATTTTCACACTTTTATAAGTTTTGGCCTATTTACATATTGGGGTTAATTGTCCAGTTACAGCTTCAGATTATGAAGTCCCATACTCCCAGATTGCTTTCCTCAATTCACTGTTTTTTATACTTTTGGGGCCTGAAGCTCCAACAGTGTCCTTGCTTCTCAGGCTGGAAAAGGATTGTTTTGTCAGACTAAACTGTGAAGAGAACTTGCTAACACTTTATATGAAGTTCAGAGTTATACACTAAAGCAGTACAGAATCAGAAAAGTATGAAAGCTAAAACTTAAGGCATCAGAATCAATGGGAATTACCCCCCAAAATAATAGCTTTTCAGCTAGGGGTTTATGATGCTCTTTCCCATTTTCCTGCCACTTCCAGTGCCCCAAAAGTGGTCCATATATCCATGCATATTCATACATATATGTGCTCAGACATGTGGTGGATACCATTAAAAATATTTCCACCTGTGACAGCAGCATTAATCAACAAACAGAAGTTTTCTCCATGAGATAAATACGTGTTTCAACAGCTGTTTCATTTGCCTTGTCTGGAATCCAGTGCTGTGGTTAGAGATTACAGTCAGGCCTTCTGGACTCTGGTTTCAAGCCTGCCATTGAGTAGTTTGTATCAGGCAAGCCACTTAACCCAGCTCATTTGCAATGTGCTCCAAGGTTCTTGGCTGTGTAAATGCTGAAGATTCTGGTGGTGAGATTGTTGTCCTTCTTGTCCTTCTGGCTGGAATCTCACTTTTCTTTGGCTTTGCCTTTCTGAAGTCAGTGTCTCAAGTGAAACAGCACACATTAATATTTAGCTGTCATGGAGCTGGCTTCATTCCTTCCTCTCCTCATTCACAGCTGATCCTTCCTTCACCCACCTATTTTTCTGTTCTTTTTTCCAGCATCGTGTGTCTCACATCTTGGACGCCAATATTGTCCTAGTCCTTTCTGAGGGCTTTCTAGTTGAATGTGACACTGCCTCAAACTTACTCCTCAAAGAGGACGGCCTGTTCACCACTTTGGTGAAGACTCACAAGTAGACTCTCTCAGTCCACACTGTTCACAGGACTTCTGGTTCTTTGGTAGTTATTTTTACCTCTTTAGTTTCCTTTCACTCTGCTTCCTTTCTACTGCACAGCTTCTGAGAGAATAGTGCAAGAAAGTGTTTCTTGTGTGGTTCCTGGGCTTGTTTAATTTCATGACAATTTTTGCAGATCACATGTAAATCTCATGCAGCTGACACTGAAACTATCATGTCAAAGGAAACCTGTAGCCTATGGGATTAAACTGTTGCCTGGAGCACACTCCAATTAGATCTCAGAGGGATTTACAGTAAGGAATAGCCCAGGAGTGCCCTGAGACTGATGGAGAGCAGACTGCTGGGGTGCAGAGAACAAGGAGCAGAGCAGGATGCCAAGCCACCTGGCAGTGCAGGATGCTTCTCATCCCTATTTCTCGTGGGAGAAGATGTGTTTCACTGGGGCCATAGGATTTATTCCACCAGCTGTGTTGTCCATAATGGCAAAAAGCGAAGCTCATGCTTAAGTATTTTCAGGCTTGGTGCAGAGGCTGTAAAGTAATTGAAGATCTCTTCAGGTTAAAGTACAAGGATCTATTCCAAATATTGCTGTAAACAAGGACAGGCTTTCCCAGATGGGGTTTGCCTTGCAGGAGGCCCATTAGTGAGAATTATCCAAATGAAAAACCTTTTTGCTTTCCTTCGTGGCAGCACCGGGTTCACACCATCCTCACTGCAGACCTGGTCATCGTCATGAAGCGGGGGAACATTCTGGAATACGATACTCCTGAGAACCTGCTTTCCCAGGAAGATGGCATCTTCGCTTCCTTTGTCCGGGCTGACATGTGAACAGCCACACAATGCATTCTAACAGCTTCTTTTTAAATAGATGAAATGCGAATATTTTCTACTTAGTGTAACATCACTTTTACCTTTTTTGTTTTGTTTTGTTTTTTTAGAGCTTCTTTCTTCACACTTCCATCTTCCAAAATAATAAAGCCTATTGCAATATGTCTGCCTTGAAGCAATAAAGATGTCACTTTATTCAAAGCTATTAAACTTCACACACACACATGCACATGCACACATGGAGGGAGAAGTTTTTACTTCCTGAGAATTAGGCATTTTCCTTAGACTTTTTATTGACTTTATTTTTGTTTAAAGAGAGAAAAAGAATGCACTGATCTTATAAACTGCATATGTTATGCTGGAACCAGAAATCAAATCGTGCAGTTTGTCAAGGAAGCAAGAGGTTCCCCAGATGCATTCTGTCCCCAGAGGGAAAAATTAGGAAAAACATCCAAGCCCATAACACTTGGGGCAATCTGCTGCATTCCAAAGGCATAAACTTTGCTCTCCAAGTTGTAGCAGAGGGGCAGTGAATGAGGGAAAGGAATTTCATCTGAAATAAGGACATTCTTCCTGTCCTTTACTTTAGTAAACACACTTCAGTCGTGACAGAACTATTTTCACTGCAACAATGGTTTATTCCTACAATCAGTTCCTAAATCCATATTCATTCTTCCAACTTTCACTAAAGATTCAAATCATCCTATGATTATGCATGCTTTGATCGGCTTATAGAGGAATTTTGTACAGTATCTCAAGACTTTGTATTAAAATTCATCTGAATTTATAAACTTGGTATTAGCCAATCCTTTAAACATGTCTACTAAAATATTCTGCTTAAAATTGCATGTAATTAATGAACCACTAATTGTTTTATATGTCTTTAGTCCTTCAAGTTCTATTTGGGGACAACCTTTATTTTCCTTTACATATTTGTGGCCTACCTCTAAATCATATCTAGTGCAAGAAAGTGTGATTTTCAAATTATTGCTACATCCTCAAGAATGTAGATGCAGTTAGACACATATTTACATGAGGCAGCTTTGCAAAGGTTGCCTGCACCTGACTTTCACACATAGTTTGATCCTGACCCATGGGCAGTAAACACCCAAAAGGAGTTTCACAGGCATATTTTCAAAGGTACAGCTTGAGAGATCACCCTCACTGGTACTATTCAAGGTGGTTTTTATTCACCTGCTGCTACAACATTTAGAAAGATCACTGAGTGCACTTAAGCCTATTTTATTGCATTAAAATAACATAAGGCACAGCATTTTCCCCCCTGCCTTCCCCCCCCCCCCCAAAAAAAAAGCAATAATTTTAGAGAGAAGTCATAGGACTTGGAATTGGGCTTACATTTAGTCTCACAGTGTAAAAAATGATACAGTGGTTTATCTTTTTAAATTGATTTTTTCGAAATTTTTATTTTCTCTGAGTTATTGAAAATAAAAGCTGTGTGACAACTAAACAAAAGAACTCAGTGTTGAACGTTTTATGAGAGGAAGTACTTCTGTGATTTCCCTGTCTACTGCTGTGAAAGCATTTTTGTTCTTTTCTGGATTAATTCCCCATGGTGATCCTTGTCATTCAAATAAAATACATTTTGTAAAAGAAGATGCCTGCAGCAGAGGCATATATTGTTATCCAAATTTCATGCCCAAAATGCCAAAATTATTCTTAATTTAATTTAATTGTGTTCAGCAAAAAGATAATTGGATTCCCTGATGTCAGACTGGGTATAAAGATGAAACACAAAATATTTTGTTGATCTGTGTGTCTTTGTAACAATGCAATCCTGATTTATTTTAAGAGGTGCCAGCCAGTTCAATGCGATCCCTGTTCCCATTGCGTTAAAGGGTTGCTATGGGCCTGGGACTATGTCTTGTAATACTTAAGAGGGGCCAATAATTAGCACCTCTTTTCTCTTAGATTTGTCCCAGAGCCATTACAGGTGTGAGAAGCACCTTCTTTGCTCACCTCCTGCTTTAGAATTGAGCTCTGCTTCTTGAACACATGGAAAAGAAAATAGATAAGTGAGAAAATGAACAAGTGATGGGGTGAGAGAACCTCATCGTGCTCCATTTGTTTGGAGGGAGGAGTGCAGGAATATCAGCCCCAGTGTTGGATTCACCATGGCTGAAGCTTTGGGTGACGACATGTCCCACTGCTGCACTGCAGGTTTAAAAGCACAATCCCATTTCTAAAGCATTAGTCCCATTCAACATATACAAATCTTATAAGATAACGAACATAAACAACCTGCTGCAGACACAGGAGATTTCCTCCCATTATAACTGCTGTCCACATGATGGTACAGACTCCCCAAGGGCTTAGGCTGAACAATTTTTGTGTTTTCCTCTAAAGGAGGAGGGTGGTGCCAGTGGTTGCACAGCTGTTTTGTTACTGAAAAGGGTGAAGAAGGGATGAAATTTTTGAAACAAATTTCTTTTGATTTCATGTAAAGGTTTGACACTGTTTGGGAGCAGTTTCCTAAGGCTGTCACGTGCACAGTAAAGGAGACATCAGCCTGGAGACTGTTTCTTTGATTCTTGTCACACAGCCTCTTCTGCTGGTAAGTCCTTCTTCTCTTCCACAGCCTCCTTGCTCTTTTTTCTTCATCTCCTTGAGTCATAGACCTTTAAGGCTCCTGCTTTATCTCTGGGTGCTCCTTATTCTGCCTATGCCCTCCCACTCCTATCCAGGTGAGCTCCATGCCCTTTGCCCCATTTTTTCTCTCACATAGTTCTGCACTCACTCTCCTTTCCCCTTTCCTGTCATTCTGTCATAACACCCCTGCTCTTCAGAGGGACACTTACTCTAGTGACATCATGTTTGGGGGTTGGTTTGTTTTCCTAAGCATTAAACTAAGCAATCTTTCAGTATTGTGATAATTGTGCTTCAGAACTATGAAGTTCTTCTTTTTGCAAAGGAGCTTTGAATGTGAACACTGGCTATGTGTAAATTTAACTATAGACAGAGGAAAGACATCTCTGTGATACATTCTAAATAATATTTCTCATTCCCTCTGCATTATTTTTCTGTTAATTGTCCCTAGGAGAGAAACAGCAAAGTTGTTGCCAATCATAGAATCACAGAATGGTTTGGGCTGGGAGGAACCTTAAAGCTTCTCTTGTTCCACCCCATGCAATGGGCAGGGATACCTGCCACTGTCCCAGGTTGCTCTGAGCCCTGTCCAGCCTGGCCTTGGGCACTGCCAGGGATGGGGCAGCCACAGCTTCTCTGGAAAACCTGTGCCAGGGCCTCAGCGCCCTCACAGGGGAAGAATTTCTTTCCAATATCCAATCTAAACCTACAGTCTTCCAATTCGAAGACATTCCCCTTCCTCCTACCACTCCACTCTCTGACAGAGTCCCTTCCCATCTTTCCTCCAGGTCCCCTTTGAGTACAGAAATTGGTTGTGCAACTGCTTGTGTAGCCACAACAGTGCTTCTTAACCTCTGGCTTACAGCCAAAGGTTATCTTTCCCACCCTTCAGTCAGGTCTAAGGGCTGGCTCTGCTCCCTTCCTGTATGTGGCCTTTCATCAAACTCATCACAGCTCATAACATCTCATGCCTGCTTCTTCTAAACTAGAAATATCCCATAAAACCTCTACTGAGCTCAAACTTAATTGTGCTAGGAAACACTGGAACTTGCCCTCAGCAGTTTGGGATAGCTCTGTTAAGCCAGGGGCATAAACAAGGCAAAGTCTGCAGGGACAGATCTCTGCTTTGTTAGGCTGTGATGCATACAAGAGGTATCTCAAGTGTTTGTAAGTTCCAGTCTCACTGCAGACCTGAAAAACTTTATTTGCAGGAGAATTCCTGCTTTTCCCAACTTTATCATTCAGCTGGAAGAATATATTCTCCAACACTTTTCAAGCACTTGGACAAGCCCCTTTTAGGGTTGTTACAGCAGCAGACCTCTGCTATAAATTCATACACCTCCATGGAACTCAGTTGGTACCAACAGGAAAATAGCCCAGAGAAGTTTGCATTTAATTATATATAAAACCTCTGCAAAAAGCAATAATATTGAATTGTAGCTTCTTAAAATAGAAATATAATTTCAAATGTGGTCAAGTAGTAAAAACTTTTTGTACAATGAGTTGTTTCCTTTAATTGATTGTGATCTTTTTGCTTCCCAAAGCAATGGACTATTGTGCTTTATAGTGTAAAGCACAGGCAATTTTGTCAATGTATCATGAAAAGCTGAAGGAAACCTTGCACAATCATTTTACACAAATGCTTGTAGGTATTTTATTAAAAAAATAAATAGAGATATAGCACACTTGAGTCAACAGCTACCTTTATAAAAAAAGCTGTGGACAGGGGCCATGTCTTCATTATCATGTTTCCATTATCAAGAGTCAGAAGTTGGAGTATGTTCCCACTGGAAGCACTGTAACCCTGTGTCCCCAGTGTGATACTGCCAGTCAAAATCAACTCTAAAATATCTACTGAAACCACAGTGCCACTTGTAAAAAGCTCTCTGGAGCAATTACTCTCCCACTAAATGTGATTAAAAGCAAAATTTAACTCAGCATACTTGCATCCTCAAGTAGCATCTTTTGAAAGCCTTATTTAAAATCAGAATATGTTATGTAAATTCTCTGATATTAATTCCATGGTGGCATGTGAAAAACTCTTTGGTTTCTTTGGAAACTAAATCCTTTCAGAGCAAAACTAAGAGACTACTAAGAAAAGTCTGAAAACAAAACTGTAAATCAAATTATTCGTTGCCATGCAAACATCCCAGTCATTTCCACATTGGTTTTTTACTGCTCTGTTTTTTCTCCACTGGAACTGACCTCTGTGCAGAACTGTGGGGAAAGACTATCAGGTATTCAGATGATGAAAAAAATTGTTGTGAGGCAGAAGTTAGCTGACTCGTACAAATTAGCAACTTGCTGATGCTGTTTTGTTTTGGCAGCACAGCTTAAAGTGTTGGCTTGAATGAAGCCAAGAAGCTTCCAAGTGTAATCTGTCAAGAGAAAAGAGATTTTTAGAAAATCTATTTACTACAATTACTATTAATTATTCACTATTGATAGCATTTGTCTGCTGCTAGATACTACCCATGGAAACAGAACAGACATTCCTGGCAGGGACTGCTCGTTTCTCTAACATAATAAACCATCTTCTGAACACTATGAACAAGCAGTTATTTAAAATATATTTTTAATTGGTTTCTACTAGGTGTAATTGTCATTCATCACATGCAAGATGCCTCTGTTCATTTTCATGGAACATGGGGATTTTCATCCCATGTGCTGTTATATAATAATACAGCATCCAGCACACTGCACATTTCAGTGGCCACTGCAATTCATTCTCATGTATGTATATTAGACTGCTTTATACATAAATACATTACATGGTTATACAATCTTTGGATTAAAGGTATAAGTAAGTAATGAACAGTCCCAGCTAGGACTGACTAGAAGAGTTCCTCACAGCTATTCCCATGACATTTCTTAACTCTCCCTTTAATTTATTTCAGGATTTTTGGGCTAGATCCATAAATATCACTTCAATCTGCAGTAAAATATTTAACCATGTAACTAAGGAACTAATGCAGCTTTGTGTAAATGACATGGTCCAGAACTTCCACCCTTCAGGATCACAGCTACAGATGCCCCAAGGCAGCATATTCTTCCATATTTAATGGTTATATGTGTTTTTATTCCCCCAGCCACATTAGGCCCTTACTGTTTCAGCAATATGACCATTAGACTTCTCCATCAGAGGCAGGAAGGTGGGAGCCTAAGAATCTCTGAGTACTGCAG